ATACAGTTAACTGATTCAAAGTATAATAAGTAATACATTTCTGGGGGAAAAAAAATATTACAAGTATTATATATTATATTTGCAAGTATTATAAATAATACCACATACTTCAGCTATAACCCCATTATTCGGTATTAGTACAAAAAATATGCGTCCAGTATGTAATACAAGCCAAATGACTTTATAAAGGAATAAAGCCAAACCATATATATGGGGTTTATCGAAGAATTTATAAACCGCAAAATATTCAATTGCTAAGTCTAAGAACGAACCCAAAAAGTTCAATAGTATGACGAGTTCGTAAGCTGTTGTCACATTAGCCAAAATGTCATTCAAATCAGAGTAAACTCTACGCATTTTCTTTATAACTTCAAACTGCGATGATGAAAGTCTCTTGTTTCTTTTATTTATAGGATATTCAGTTTCATACCAATTATTAGTTATATCCCTACCGATAGTAGTTACACAAACATCCGTATTTATATTTAATCTCAAAGACCTAGGTTTGCTTGTATTCTGTAATATTTCATTCACACGTTTGTGTAGCAATTGTATAAAGCGCAACGCTAACCAATATTGACCCAAGCTTAATGAAATTATCAGATTTGGTACATTATACGCACTAGAACTACGAATAGATAATAAAATATTATAATCCGAATAGATAAGATCTATAGCACAGCAACAGAAAATAAAGCCACATATTGACCACACCAAGCAAAGTAACTCTGTATGCAGCACAATATATAACGCTCCCATATTACTGGATTGTTGAGGTAGATAAGACTGCAACTCTTTATAGATTTTTGATATTTTAATTGGTATTATTTTGTAGAATTCGGCATAGTAATATGCACTACTGACGGTACAAGTTATAATTATGCAGTTGGTCAAAAACTCACTGAGATATAAACCCTTTTCAACAGTTGTGTAGCTTGCTCTAATCGTGGAAGCTTGCATATAGTTTATAATGTATATATAAAGTAATATCGTCAAGCACCAAATATGATGTACACGCATGGATATGCTTGTAGGATTATTACTGTTCACAGTCAAAAGTGGTGTAACGCAAAAAAATTGACAAACCAAGATTAGTTTTTTTACAAGTCCCAAAAATTTATTGAACGCACCATTTCCATCGGATTCTTTATTTAACTTCGTAAGACTCATCTTCTAATATAAATTTATGTTAAAAGAATAATTCATTTTTGACATTTGACATACATTTTTATAGACGTTGGCTCTATTAGAATATAACCATTTAATATTATTCTCGATATTGTTGTATTTAATTGTCCAATTAAAGTGCATTTGAATATAAATTTCTATTAAAAATTAATTAATTTACTAATTAGTTTTTGTAATGAGTATGAGTTTAAGAGATATTTAATTACGAATTAATTGTTTAAGTATATCAACTTCTAGCTGTATATTAGTTGTAAATAAGCAATAATTAATTTACTTAGTGCTACAAATCCGAAGAGAACACTGGTTCTTCTCATTTTCATCTACTGTGGGAGTTTTCACTGGTAAGTATTAAAATAAAAGATTTAAGTTTCCTAATAAAGAGTGGACCAATTGAACTGTAATCAACCAACCTGTTTAAGCTTTCAAACTGGTGGCAAATATGCGTTTAAGTTGATGATTATTAGCTTTCCTTCCAAGAGTGGACATTGTTAGACCTCCCAAACATCTTAATCTGAACTAATCTTTCGTGTCCCAAGTCACAAAACTATAGTGAAACTGAATGTGACAATGTTAAAAAAACCTTATTTGGGGTTCGGAAATTTGACGACCGAATTAAAATCCGCACAGCGGGTCATTTGTGGATCACTAATGCAGCGAAACGACCTTGAAATGACACCTTATTGCTACATAACCGACAAGATTTCGTTCATGTTTGAAACAAAACTAAGCTCCATAAAGCTGTAACGAACCTTTTCCGTTGATGAGCAAAATTTTCATAATTAACAATATTTAAACAAATTATCGCGTTTAACAGAGAGATCATTAGAAAATCGTTTGGAAAGTTATGACAGTCTTTGGTTGCTCTGCGTCACTGTTTTTGGACCGTGAAGTCAATGTTATGTACTGCTAAATCCTAAGCAAATAAACATTTAGATGAGAGGAAGAATAAATATATCAAGAAGATTATGCACCGTTACAGAGAGTACGCCCCAATTGACAATAATATAGAGTGAATAGCATAGATCGACTTCATAGTAATTTTCAAAATCACCAGATGTGACTGTGCTGGACATTTTAGTATACGATATTTTTTTCGGTTACGGTTAACACAAAAAAACCAGAGTGCTGAAGTGTTCAAGAAAGCACCTATGCTTGAAATGGATTAAGACTCCACGTATAGATTCACGTATAGTTGACTCATTTGTCCACCTAATCAGAGTCATAACTCAAGACGGCCATATAGAAAAGTTTGAATTCAAAAAATTTGATTATTTTTATTAACTAAAATTTAACAAATAATTTTTCTGTTGATTTAATTTAATTTGATTTTTAATTAAAATATTATATTCTTGAAAGTCGCAGTTCAAGTGGGCCATCTTGCATATACATATATATCTTTATAATATTTTATATAATATATAATATATTATAAATCCTTTTTTTTTTTAATTTAAAAACAGAATTTTAGAAATATTCACCAATCAATATGAAAATATTCCCTTCGAAGACGCAAATGAAACAAAATAATAAAGTTTTCAAAATAACACCCATTATTATTCCAATAACTAGAAATTTGGAAACAAAACTATATAAAGCAATTGGTTATTTTCTAATACTGTGCGAAATATTTATGACCGCGCCGTTTGGTGTACATCGTCCACAACAGAATATAGATACGTTTCGTGATAGAGTTTGGAACAGTCTTCATATATCTTGGTGTTTTGTTATCTACGCTGCTCTAACATTTTGCATTTATATACACTATACAGAATCCAATATCGATCTACCTACGGTACAGAAACCTCTTTATTTTTCTGAATATATTGTGTACCTAGTGCATGTATTACAAATAATAATTGGCAGCTACTATGGACGTCATAAATTTCAAAATTTTCTACACATCATCATTAATTTTGATGAACAAGTCACAGTTTACAATGTATATCCGAATTTTAAACTATTCAGAAAATTCCTTAACAAGCATTTATTGCTAATATTGTTACATACGATCTTAACTACAATTATAGATTTTTACTATAGTTCATCTATTTTACTAAATTTTCTATATAGTACGATTGTTTATGTATTACCAAATAACGTCTTACATATATCCTTGTTGCAATATTATGGGCTTTTATATGCCATTGCTTTAAGAGCTAATAATTTAAATCAAATTTTATCCTTAAAATTATCTAAAAAATCACTGGATCCATCAACTTTGCATGAGGACTTACATATCTTACGTTCTTTATACTCAACTCTGGAACAATTATATAAAAGTGTAAACGATTCATTTGCGCAATCTGTGCTATTAGTCTATATTGGATCATTTATGAATATAAGTATTAATATTTTTTTGATATACAAGTATATGGATAAAGTTGAAAATTCTGATCTTGCTTGGACATTGTACTCTGTGATTTGGACTTTCATGCATATTGGGAAAATGTTTTTGATTTTGTACTATAATCACTGCATACAAAAAGAGGTAAAAATATAGGTTATCCAATAATGTAAATTATATTTTTTAATAATTATTTTTCTAGAAAAATAATACAGCTCTTTTATTAAATGATATTTATATTGAAAATGAGGAAATTGAGGAAACGGTATGTGCTAATATATATATATAACACTTTTATATATATTTAAGGTGATTAAAAATGTAACTGTAATGTTGTTTATTGTAATGTAAAAAACATATTTATTATATATTAACATATAAAAATTAAATATGTATTTTAAAATTACCTTTATACTTATGAATTGTGATATCTGTAATTATAACATTACACATTTCAAATTGATTTAATTTCAAATAATATTATTTATTTGTATCATCGTATGTATCATCGTATATTAAATGTTTATAATTTTTTTTTTAATTTTAGATTACTCATTTTGTACTTCAATTAGTTGTTAATACTAGAAGTAACGTTGCTTGTGGAGTTGCAGAGCTAAACATGAATTTTATAACTTCAGTAATTTAACAACTTATTTCATTAATGATATATCTATATTATTGATTTATGCATGCCAAATCATTAATATATATTTTTTCAAATTTTCTAGTTACTTGTGGCCATCTCTACACTATTTATTTTTCTATTACAATACGACATTACATTTGAAGCTTTAACCAAAAGTCATAATTCTGCAAGTCCCAGATCACAAAATTAATATTAAAATGGATTTCTTTATATACAATTGATATGAAATTTATGTTATAATTTATTCTATATTGTTATAAAAATCAGTTTTGAGTTCATAATACTTTTTATATATAAATTAAGAAATTAATATATTGATGACCTTAGTACAATTACTTGTTTATGTTGTCTATTATAATCTTAATACTTTTTATTATATAAAATGTTAGTACAGTTCTTAATAAGTAAACTTAAATAATAGGGATTCAATTCAAAAATCCTTTAAATTATGTCCAAATGATAATTGTACCATGTGTTCTTTGAAATACTGAAAAGCAAACATTTTGAATGAAGAGATATGCACTGATAATATACTATAATTAGTTTTAAATTATACTAACTATATCATTTCAAATACTATTTCAAAATTTTTTTATTGTGTATAATTTTAAAATATAAACATTTAGTTGTACTCGTTTTTTCAAGCCAACTATTAACGTATAAATAAAACTACATAAGTTATTATAACTCACCACTGTGCTAAAGTTACTTACCACATTTTTACAAAATTTCTAACCTCCATAATTTGCTTTAATATCTCGCTGTATCAACTGTCAAACAACTGTTTTCCAATAGACGGTGTGTTAAAAAGCCGTCATAAATATAATTTTAACATTTAATATAAAATTATTATTGAATATAAAAATATATATCATCATATACTTAGTTAATTAAAATAAATATGTGTGACGTAGATGCAATTACTAAAATAGCCAATTGTCTTGGTGTGCCTGCTGGTAAGGTGACACTCAACGAAGAAAAGGTTAGTTGTTACAATTAAATTTATTTTAAAGTTAATCAATATTGTAAATTTAAAGGTTGTTACACGTACAAATATTGATAACAAAAAAGTTACTGGTTTTGCCACTATTCTTAACGCATTGGCAAAGGAATCAAAATCAGAAACTGCACAAAACAGTTGTGCAACACGTGAAATCGAAGCCCAAGTGTATCAATGGATTGAGTTTGCTGTTTTGTATGTAGCACCAGGATCTAAAGACAAGCATGTAGCACAAGGATTATTAAGAGATTTTAATAAATTGTTCCTATGCAAGTCATATTTAGTAGGACACTTCATAACTCTTGCAGATTTGGCTGTTTTTTATGCAATATATGACTTAGTGGTAAGTTGGAAAAAATAAAATTCTGCGTAAAATTTTATATTTTTAAGACATAATAATTGTTAGCCACAATCATGCAAGTAACTTAAAGTATACAATTTAGGGTAGTAAAATTATTCCGTTGCTCTTACGAAGAGATCCTACAGTTTTTATAAAAATTTAAGGTGTATATATTAACAATTTTTATATTTAAATTTAATCGCATATTTGGGTTACGGGCACTTAAATTAGCCTAACTTCGCATTATTCGTACATAGTTATACGTTTTATGATCTTGCCATCAAATGCGATATATAAAATTCAAATGCCCTCCGTGGGACATCTTACGGTATTAAACCCTTTTGAGGTAATTTTCAATGGCCTGTCACACAAGTCATCTAAGTGAGTTATGCATAAGATTTCATCGTTGCAATTTTGTTAATTTATTGTCTTTTGTTTTTTTGTGTTTCTAAACTTAACTGAAATTTATGCTTTATAGAGTGATATTAACAAATAATATATGTACAAGAATTGGGATATGTTGGTAATATAGTTGATAAATAACAGAGTAAAGAGAGAAAAACATTGCAAGCAGATCTCTGCATAAATAACAATGTTAATAATTATACTATATTAAAAAATATTTATATGGTTTTTGGGTTCAGAAAAAGTAATTAAGTTTTTATATTAATTACTTTATTAAATAATTAATATATATTATAAATAATAATATAATCTTTCTCTTTCAGAAATCTCTTTCGCCTATTGATAAGGAAAACTACTTAAATCTTTCTCGTTGGTTTGATCATCTGCAGCAACGCCCAGAGATACGTCAAGGAGAAAACCTGCTCAATTTTACTACAATTTATTTGCATGGCTGGGCCACAGGAACTCACATCTAAATACCCCATTATGATATTAAATACTTTAATTACGTGCTTTATCTATTTTATTTATTAATTAATTGTGTCATTATTAATTTGATAGTGTCATTATTTATTTAATTGTGTCATTATTATTTAATTGCCTTTGTTTATGAATAAACAATTAAAATTTTTAACTTTAAAATCAAATAAGTTGTCAACAATTTCCGTTTATTAATTATATAATTAATTAAATCTGTCAACAATTTTGACATGCAAATTAATTATTTAAAAAGGTTTGAATTATTCCATTCGGATCATAAGACTATCGTTGTTTTAACTGTTCATTTCGGAAAAATGAGTGTTTTCTTCAGAGGCTATATTTCAATCATCCTTTTCTGTGGACTTTTATTGTTTAATAAATGTTCTACTGAAGATGTGAAGAATTATGAAATTTCGTTAGAGTACAAAGGAGATGCAAAAAAAAGTAATTTATTTAAACTTGATTTTCAAAAAGGAGTAGACAAAATTAGCGCCTCGGTGAACCTATTAGTCGAATTAACCAATGATGATACGGTAAGTTTATATAAATATAACTGCAAACAAATTATATATTATAATTTCAATTTGTTGCATTACAGATTGAATGTCAAGCATTTAAGGATACGAAATTAATTTATAAATTATCAGCTAAAGGGATATGTGATTTTTTAAAAAGTCATTACAAGAATTTTTTCTATGATTCCTTAAAAAATTATTCTAATGCACCTACGCCAGAGACGTGTCCGTTACCAAAACAGAAATATCAGCTTAACAATTATCCACTCAAAGAGTCTAAAATTATGAAATTCATGAAACCAGGACTTTATGATATTAAGTGTATAATACACAAAGGTGATAATAATGAGAACCATGAGTTGCATGCAGAAGTTAAGGAAAAGTAAACAAATATAAATATCTATTTAAAAAATTGGAGTAATTATTCAATATTACTTTTTAAAGTTCAAATTTATCGGGTATATAAAAATATATTTGTGAAGGGTTCTACTTGATTAACAAAAAACTTATATCATAAATATCAACACTTTTGTGTAGAAATATAAAATAAAAAAACACTAAACTTCAGTGATTAAAATCTCAATATGTTATTGTTCAAATTGCACAGACAAATTAAAAATTATTTTTGTTTTTTGCTATAAGTAGTTTCTAGAAAAACTATAAAATATCTAAATATAGATTTTTGTTTATATTATTATCTATAACAATTTTAAATTGAAATTTTATCAAACTAAAAGAAAGTACTTGGGGCGCACTGAGAGAACCGTCTACCACGGTTTGACCACCTGCTTTGCTTGAAGATTAAAGTCGATAGGCATGAAATGAATTCATAAACTTAATTAAAATGTTTTTTTTTTGATACAGATAATACTTTTGTAGTATAATATTTACCGGTTGAAACGTAAATATATTCTTATTATCTTATATATACTTATATATATTATTCCATTTCATTTGTAAATATATTTATTTGATATAAGATATATATTTTTATTTCTTATCGTTTACACTTTACTGTTACTGTAGTATTTTGCAAAATAAATTATTTCTATAATAAAAAACTAATAATATTTATATGTAATTATTTAAGAATTTAAAAATTATGAACATATGCATATGTATGTAGTTCATGCATACATACATAAAAACGCGGTTATGATTAAAAAGTGTTTCACTAAAATAGAAATATCCGCATAACTCACTCTTCTCACCATAACCATTTTTATACTAATCAGATTATTCCAATCCTGCTAATTTTCGTAATATTCTTACTACATCGTCTTTTATAGTTTTTAGGTTATTTTAATCTAAACTAATTCTCACCTTTTATCCCTACCGGTGTGTTAAGCATGGCATATATTTGTTTGGGTGGTAAAGCTTTCTCTTATCATCCAAGTAGTGCATAGGCACCGTTTTGATACCACAATCACGGGCATAAAATTTTTCATTTATAAAACAAACTCCGCAATTGATAAAGAAAATTTTTTTTGAAGAGCTACGCTTGAAGCTCTGCGTGGATGGTCGCCATTCACTTGAGTTCCTAAACTTCCATAGCGAAATGTTTTAATCTTGCCAGGCCTGTGTATTTGCAAAGTAACTATTTAGTTCTTTTTTCTTTTCTTTCTTGCAGCTTTTCCATTTCTAGTTGAGTCCACTGACCAATGGCACTGCCACTTGTTTTGTCACTTCTATCTAGGTTCTGCCTAGTAGAATTACGTTTACAATAGATTGTCATTCACCTACTCTAAGTGAGGTAGAGAAGGTCAACTTATTCGATATAATATCACGAGAATAATATTAGCGTTATAGAAGCATTTGCACCTTTTTAATTTCTTTAAATATATACAAACATTTGTACTTCGATTTGCACTAATAAATTAAATTGCTGAACATTTTACAATAATCTATTAACTATATTATGAAAGCATGTCAATCATTTCCCTTTCATTTTGCAATTCAATATCGTACGAATCGTAAATGACACTACAATAGATATACAAAAAATGGTCAAATTATAAAATAAAATATTATGAATTACTTTTTCAATATTTATTATATAAATCAAATAATCTATTCATATTGTTCCATTTCCTCCAATACTTTGTCATAAACATATTTCTTAGCTTCGGTACCCCAAATGAAATCCAGATGAGCCCATTTAGCGAATGGCACCAAATAGTCCAATTGCATATTTGGTAATTCATCACGCAATTGTCGAACATCAGAAACATCACACATCCAATCGTTAGCACCATAGTACAACAGTACTGGAGCTTTAGCGTTTTTAAGCTTGTAATTTGGTGGATACATAGTGCCATATTCGTATGGGTTACGTACAATGCTGTAATCAAATTTACGGAAACGTTTAGAGTTGTATTCTTGACAGAAATGTATGTTTTGGTTCACAGAAGCTCCAGCTGGAGATGTAGCCTTAATGTGTTCAATTAATTCCTATTAAAGAAATACCATTATTCTCATATCGAGCAAAATAATTTTTAAAGTATATGTTATGATCTTACAGGATCCAGTTGTTCTGTGTCGTAACCACCAATTAAGAAGATTTCATTAGCACACAATTCAATGAATGGTGAGGTTGCTTGGCACATTTCAATACCCAAATCCTGTTTGAATTGATTGCTTGGCATAAATTCCATAGAACCACAGAGTTCAACAATGGCATTGGGTTGTCCTAAAATTGGTGCAAATGCTCTAGTTAGAGGACTCTTCATGTTACCCATGTAAGCTGCTGGACCCAACAAATGTGCCGATTTGATTTTATCATTATATTTTGGACGCTCAGACATCATAACTAAATACACTGTAGTACCCTGAGAGTGTCCAACATATTGTACTTGCGATTCACCAGTTTCTTCAAGTACATAATCAATCATATTAGGCACATCATAGATACCTAATAAAGAAATTTTTAATTGCAAATATATATAAATAATTACAAACACATTTACCAATTTCATGCCAACTGAAATTCCAGAAAAGTTGCCAATATGTGGGCCAGTACTTATGCTTCTTTGAATAGGTGTTACCACGAGCATTGCCCATCCAAACATCATAACCAGCATCGGATAAGATATAAGCCAAAGCCTTATTGGGTCCCATTAAAACCCAATCAGATGAGGAACTCAACATACCGTGCATAAGGAAAGCAACTGGTCGATTACCATCGTCACCGGTTTTTGGAGAGTACGGAATGCGATGCATAGTTAATATGTAACCATCTTCAGTGGTGACGGTATGTCTTTCCATGGGATATCCATCATCCAGAATACGTTCACCCTATGAAATAAATAAATAAAATTTATTTTAAGAAAAATATTTATAATTTACTTATATATTTATTTATAATTCTTACACAATCCGAAATGGGTCTGTCACCAGCGGTAACACTGCCCGCTGCTAGAATGAGAGCAAGGCTCGTTGCCAAAATAATACACTTCATTTCAATTTTACTCGTGGAGAGTAACTGTCTTGCATCGTTGGATTATTTTGCTTTTATATCAGACTTTTGGTCATATTCTTAACTATTTTAGTAAATCACTAGATAATAAAATAAAATACAATAAAAATAATTAAAAACTATATTTAATATTTAACTGATAAAATTAATTTATTAAAATTCGGGGGTCTGATTGACTTAAAGATACGATATCAGAAAGCAATATGTAACAAAAATTTAAAAATAAAGAAGCGTGTCTAAATATTTTATCGAACTTGATTATTCAGTTTCTGTTTCTATAAAATTCAATATCAATATTGGCGGGAAAGTACAAATTAAAGTAAGCAGACATTTGTCTAGTTCTTAACAACAAAGTGTTCAGTGTTGTTTCTTATAAACAAAATTTCATAGGCGTTTTATATAAAAATGTAAGCTGCTTTGTGCACCAAAGTTCATTTAAATACAAGTAATGTCTCATTATGACACCTGAAGAACCACCTTAAAGGATGAGGTCCCAAACATCTGGTGAACAGGCAGCGTGCGCTGTTCCATTCAAGTAAAAGGGGACTAACCTGGCAAGTCAAAAAACTTGGCTATGTTCTTAATTATAAAGTTGACAGCGCTGTTGGATCTCTTAAAGAAGGGGTCTCAAATATTTTGAATCTTCTTCTAGTCGATGATTGGCAGTGACACATAAGGCGAATTATTAAATGAAATTGTACTCCACCTCATATTTCAGTAGCCATCATTGTCTTGAAGAATATTCTAAATCTTTGGTCCCATCTATAACTGACCAAGTTTTATTACTTACTTTCCTAATACGCAATATTTAATCAACACGCATACTATAGTACCGACTTTATTCCACTTTAGTTGAAACAGATCGCGTGCTTTGGCACGTTTCTTTACTTTCTATTTGCTTGAAGTGTATTTATGTACAGGTACCCATTTGAGTTGGACATTGCAGAACCTAGACAACTAGAAATCCATCAATGTCGACTTTAAAGTAAATAGCTCTAATGTCTATCACAAATTTAATACCACCTTCGCTGTTCATATATTTCATATATAAATTCCATTGCCAACTCTGTCGTTTAGTTTGAAATCGTGAAAATGTTAAGGTCTCTTCTATCTAGATTATCTAGATCTTTTCTAGATCTCTTCCTGGTATAAAGGAACCGGACTCTTCAACAATGTATAGGTAACAAGACGTACAATTGTTAGAACTAAGGGATAATAAATCCTGATTTAGTATACTTTCTTGTCTTATTTCAGTTCTGGACTAGCGATTAAGTCTATTTGCCACTAGCTTAGTTTACGATTTCACCAAAAGCCTGGATGGGACACAAGGAAATAACGTGATTAGAGTTTTCGTGGAAGTGAAGCACAGAGCTTCAGTAACTTATACGATGCTGCCATCATTCTTACTTTGTCAAGTAGCGCTACGCAACTAGTATTTACACTAGCTTTCTCCAAAAGGATAGCTCGATGTAGAAGCGCCAGAGGAGATTTTGAGGTTGAAGACGGCAACTGGTCTTCAACAATTGGGATTGAAGAACGACATGTCGCTTTAAGTACTGTTTTTACCAAGTTAGCGTTTCAGATGAGTTTAGAGTCAAAGGTGAGACCCAGTTGTTTGACATTCCAGAAGAAAAATTCAATAACCTAACAATTTATTACATCCAAAAATGTTCTTAAAACTAGAAAAGCTGTAGAAAGAATAGTGCAAATATATGGTTGTAGAGCTAGGTACATTAAAATGGAATGCAACTCCAAATTAAACTTTTATGTATATAGTTATGCAGCGATAAAGGCAAAAAACTCATCACATTATGTCCAAAAAATGTTGAGAAAATTAGAAAGGCAAGAAAGGTTAGTAGTTAATAGACTACTAGATTAACTATCATAACTATCATAGATATATGGGCTACTGTTTCCAGCGGTACACGCATACATGACCACCAATAGTGATGAATATAAAAAGTGTAGAGAGCTGGAAGTTAAGCAGGCTTTGACATATATCATATATTTATGTCTCGCATTGTTGAGAGGCTGAAGGATGCTGCAATGCGTTGGACTTCTTTATGATGTCTACTACAAAACATCGTGTAGGGCTTGATTCTTTTGGTTTGACAAGAGACCAATAAGTTTATATGTAGCTGACGGTCAGCCACATTAACCTAACTTAAGCTATAGAGTCTTTGCTATATTCTGCTTTAGTATATAATTTTATTTTAACTGTATTAAAAAGTAAAATATTTTGCAATTAATATATTTTTTTGTTACCCAAACGGTTACGACTAGCACTAACAATGAAAGAACAAGCATTACAAAACAAAACGATTGCTCAATGAAACTTCGTAATTTTAGAACTGTTATATGTGGAACTATAAGTAATATTTCAATCAGGTTAATATTTTTCGGAGAAATTTATCTTAATCAAAATTGTATTTTTTTTTTTGTTTAGTGAAATAAGTTTAAGCGTAATCTATTTTAAAAGATATAAATAGCACTCGAAACTTAAATTAGTAATAATAAATATTTCTTTATAAGATATATTCAATATTAATTTTATTAAATATGCTTTATTATGTGTAATACAAATTCAATGTAGATGATCCAATTCATAGACTTTTTGATGGCATTTAAATATTCTTTATTTATGTACGCAAATCTGAAGAGATCGATTATGTATAATTTTGAGAGATAACCATATATAATTTATTTTTAATTTTGCACAACTTTTAAATGCTGGCAAGAAATAATTGGTTTCTGGTGTACTACTTTATATTTTTTTATTATTTATTTTTTACAAAAATATATATTCATCATTGATTCATGAATTTTAAGTTTGAATTAAATACAATATATAGTGAAAGGACAAGATACATGTGGAAAGACTTTAGTGTTATAATAAATGTTCAAATATATATGATTCGAGAATTTTTTAAAAATTATTGTTAAGATTTTTTTGTTTTTGTATAAAATAAAATAATTTTTTAAAATTAAGTTTGATGATGAGAGTTTAAAAAATATAAAATAATTTTGTGTTCAAGATTTGCTTATAAAATTATTATGCTACTCTTCTTAACTTAATGCAATTTAATTGTCGTTTTTTTTTTTCATGACAGTTTGCTATCCTTTCTATTTCAGTTAGCATGAACTTCACGTGGGGAATTCAAGGAATTATTTAACTCTCCAGGTTCAGTGCATTTCCAAAGTCCATATGTTTTTCCTACAGTAGTTTGCCATAATCTCAGCGTACCATCTTCTGATCCGCTCGCATAAAGTTCGCCATCAGGACTAAATTTAACTGAGTGGACTGGTCCAAAATGACCTTTAAAAGATTCTAAACGAGAGGAAAAATGCTTTTAAGGTTTTCCATTGTTATTGAAAAATTCTAAAACTTACCAATTTCATTCCCAGTAATATAATCAAATTTATACATCTTAAAATCTTCGCCTCCACAAACAAAAACATGTTTATCCGGATGTAAACTAGCAGACGAAACATTCGTCGGTACTTTTATTTCCTTCAATTTCTTTAATGTATCTACTTCCCAAAAACTAATACTACCTCCGTGAGTTATTGTCAAAATATGATTGTCAGCTGAAATTTCTAAACTATTAGGATTATGTGTAAATTGTAATCTTTGTATTTCGTTGCCCGTTAAGCGATCCCAAAGTCGTACAGTTTTATCTTCTGCTGCCGAAACTATACATTTATCATCACGACAAAAGAGTGCCCGTTTTATGGTTCCACTATGACCAGCGTAGATTTCCGGTTCCATATTCGGTTGTTCTAGATTGAACACTCTTACAAACTTTTCACTGCTACCAGTAACAATATTTTCAGAACATTTATCGAATGCTACTGTTTTCACTATATGTTTATGCTGAAAGCTATGTATTTCAGCACCGGTAACTGCGTTCCATACTTTTCCAGTAAAATCCGCAGCTCCAGTTGCAGCTAAAGTTGCATTCTTGTTAAGTGCTACACCCCAAACCGCACCTTTATGTCCTTCAAAAGTGCCCACCCAATCACCAGTATCACCCTGGCGCAACATAGGACTGCCATCTAAAATTAAAGGAGAACAACATGTGTGCGATTAATATATTTAAGATCAATCAATGTGTAAAATATTGAAATAATTTAAATTTTTAAAATCATTTGAATGATTGCATTTTACAAGCAAAAACTTATCCAACAAGGTGAACTACATCATAAGAAAAAACAACAAAAATGATTCAGACAGAAAACACAATGAACGGCACTGTTTTTATTTTCAAGTACGGAAATTCACTTCAAATTCTTAATGCGCTAATGGAAAACACATTAATTGCATTAATATGAGAGGATTGAAAAACAAAAAATATGATTTTTATATAGGAAATTATATTAAGCTGATTATAGTATACCTGACCAATAAATTCTTAAAGTAAACACAAATAAAATTATACTAAATATATACATTTATACAAGCTACACGGAGGTAGAAAACCCAAAACAATAGAGTGTACTCTTATATTTACTAACTATAAAGTATAAATAGTTAGTAAGGCATACAAAAGTTCAAAGCAATAGTAATGAGTTTGGTGTGAAGTATCTTCAATCCTTACTTATATAGGAGAAGTTACAGCTTATCAAAAGAACGCTATTTACAAGTCAGATGTTTTACATGTTTACCTTTAAAAAAGTCCTTTAGGTTTGGTGTTTAAACAGTGTTTCATCCACTTTATCACAAAAGATACGGTTTAGAGAATGCTAAGCATTAGGTTTATAGTACTCACTTTTGTATCAACCGATTTTTCAATAAAACATATTAGTGAAGAGTTAAAGAAGATATATCAGCTTCCGAAGTAAGCTTAAAAATGTAAAATTTTGTGCTGTGTATGGATAAGTGATATACCTATGAAGTTGTATTTGTTTAAAAAAAATTAGAATATTACCGTTCAACACAAGTGCAACAGAGTCCTGAATGTTGGATTATTTTTGAATATATGACAGAACATGTTTTCCAGGACTCTTGGTTTTAACAAGACTGTATCACATGTTATATAGTCAGAGTTATTAAAGCATGGCTATATTGTGTACTGCATTGGAGTTCTAACGTAGATTATATTTTACAGAAATTTTTAAGGTCCATGCTTTATACAGACAAATCAAAAATAATTCCAGCCTTAAAATGTAATACTAATTATTCATTTACTTAAAATTACGTTTGTTCTCTTATAAATTCCTATGTACTGTAGTTCTAGTATATAAGCAGACATTTCTTTCAAAGACATATTCAACAAAGACATAAAATCTGGCGCTATGCATCTATTAGGAAAGATACGTAGCGTTATACTATTCAAAATGAAACCAAAATACAGATGGCGATTAGTTACAAGTAAACTACACCGTAACCGATAGAGCATGACTTTGAAGAGACCAATTGAAAGAGACAAATTTTTTTATAGAATCAAAAGTACCGATGCAAAACAGAATAGTGTGTATTTTTTTCTAGACTTTAAATTGAGAAACTTTTTAAAATAGTTCAAAGTTTGATTAAATAAAAAATTGTGGTGTTATAAATTTAGTTTAATTAGAAAGAATGAGTAAGAATGCTTAGACTATAGTGTAAATTTGAAAGAATTTCCTTCTATTATAAACTATACCGATTGGTAAAAGATAATATACCAACCGTGAACCAAAACTGGCTACAGGCGAAGTGAGCTCGTAACAAGAGATAGAAAAATTAAAACAAAATGAACTTACAAATGTATACGTATATAAAGTATACCATTTCGATTGTAAGATACTGACTTATTTGAATAAATGAGTTATGACGCCTGGCACAAATAATTTTAAGGACACTACAACATTGGATAATACCATGTTATTTACTTTTCCCTTAAATGCTTCCAATAAATCAAATTAAGTATTTTTCATGCTACTATAAGTTTTTATATTATCGGCAAAATATACATAGCGTATGACAGAATCGGAGCCGCTAAATGAATGTCAGCTATAAACCCAAACCAACGCTAAGGCATTCTTTACAAGCCATTTTAGGTAACTAGTGTGTCCGTTGTTTCACCTTAAATGTTTTTGGTGGACTATGTAATTATTTTTGACCACAAATAAGTGCTTCCCAATTTGATTAAAGAGACTGTTCAGTTTATCCTTGCAAGTAGTTAAATTGATTGCTAATTGTCCATGTGATAATTACATGAAAGAAGAAAAATCTTTAAAGTTACAAGAGAAGGGTAAGAAACATGACTCGAAACTGAGAATTTTTTAAACTGAGAAGTCACGCTTGCATTTACAAAAACAAATACGAATAACAAAAACTTCATTCAATGTTTTGCTTTACACAGAAAGCGATTAAAATAGCGGAAGCAACCTTGACTGAATGACTGCATCAATGCCAACGACCTGACAGGCCAACCTGACTGCCAAGCAAACTGCACAACATCAATTTGCAACAATATTGTGTATAAAAATAAAAACTAATTAAATGCATTTACGTTTACAAACTCGTCGAGAGAACATTAAACATACTGAAGAGTAAAAAAAATTACAAAATTATAAAAATTTTATTTGCGAGTTTTTCGATATAAGTAAAATGTGAAACGACCCACATCGAAATGCTAAATGCTAAATTCCATTATACCAAATTTTTTATTTCTTAAAAAATTATTATTATTAACAAATATTATTTATTTTTTATAATAAGTCATTGGTAGACAGTTAGTCAGCTGAGAAGCCTCTCCTTTAGCAACTACGGTTTTAACACATATGTATGGTATATCAATCGTTTAAATTTTTATATATGCTTTAGAGAGTTAGCTTTACTAATAGTTGGAGACAGCGGCGACATAAAGACTCTAGACGCACTTATTAATTTTTCAATTTTATTTTAAAGACCCCAGACGATTCTAGCATTTTACTTATCAAATGTCAAACGGAATAATAAAAAGAATAGTCAAGAGCAAAAGAGTGGGGCATCCTCGCCAAATAGCACTAGGAGATAGGAATGCTTCGGTGAGCATACCACTGTACAATGGTCTGCAAATTGTTGACTCGTAATTGTATTTCATAATTCTTTCAAATTTATCAATAATGTTTCTGACTTTTTAAAGAGTTTTAATTATGACTGAAGTATTTCACTCTTTATATATATAATATTTATATTTTTTTTAAAATTTTGGTAAAGAAAAAACGCGGAAACATTGTCTTAAATGTTATAATTGCATTCCAAAATTCATATTCACAAATACTAAGATTTTAAATAAACTTGTGACGTTTTCTGTACCCGCAGACTATCAATTGAATCGTTAATAATCCGAGTGTCAGACTTCTTTCATTGAGTTGGCTTGACTTATCAGTGTTCAACTTAGTGACGAGCTTGCCAAACCACACATGTCAGAGTCAGTATGGTTGATGTTAGGTCACTCCATGTTAGGGAGACTCTAATGAGACTTGGTCTTTCCCATATTGTCATAGCTGTGGCTTTGCAGAAGAGGGCGAAGCTGTGTTTTATCTTATGTGTCACTGCCCATATTAACCAGAAGGAGATTATATATCTTAAGAGTCACTGACTGAGTTATAAACCATAAAAAATTGGGAGATGGCCAAGTTTATTCACTTTTCAGGGTAGGCAACTTTACCTAAATATAGGAGTCGTGCTTGTTCTTTTGCTTTTCTATGCGCATCATTTTGTACTTTACATTTGCATTTGGTGATCGTCTTAGTTGTATCACAACCTGCTACTATTAGTGATCGTCCACTTTGATGCCACTCTAATCTAGTCTTCCGAAATTAAAATCGCGTAATATAAAAACGCGTTGTAAGGATACCACGTTATAGAGGAGATTAAGGTACAATGGATTTCAGCTAAAAAGATCACTAGTCAATACATAACTATATGTACGAGTATATAACAATTTATATATAGACTTTAGAATGCTAAATAGTAACACTCAATAGTAATATGCCCTGTTACGCATTATTTATTAATTAATATCATAGGTGTAGTTTTAACTGATAGAGTTAATGCTAATTATATATCCATTAATTTGAAAGACTAAAACATTAAAATAAACATAAATTAATGTTCATTACTTGTCTTTACGCATAACAACAGCATCGAGACAACAAACTTTTTATGGACGTACAATTATCGTGCGATGCATTTACGTTCTATGGACGCTCTTAAAATCAAGGTGAGCTGGTCATTTTTTTTGCAGCTCTCGTCCCCGATGCACTTTTTAAATAATTTCAATTCAGAATTTATTACGTTCGCTTTTTCTTAACATTTTTTTTTGCATTTTCGTAAACTGTTATTTAGGAGACTCCATTATAATTATAAATAAGTTGCAATCTATTTAAATTATCTCAACAACGGGTAGATATTCAACATTATTGAACAATCATAATAAACTTTAAAGTTTTAGTAAAACTTCAACACATATTATTTATAATACATATGGTATCGCTAAAGGTTATTAATGTTTTAATTTATTTATAATTAAATGCAATAATTTTGTCACATTTCTGACTATTCTGACTTTGAAAAGGTTAATTATAGTTATGTTAAGTGATAATTTAGATATTGTCCTCAGGGACATCAAGATTGACTCCATCAAAAAATACATTAAGGATAGAGCACTGAAATTATTTGTGAAAACTGACAGACTTACCAACACCGCGTTATCAAATCTCAAAATGGTCACAGGCTCCTCGGGAGGTATGCAGATCTGAGGTCAATTATTGCTTAGTCTGATGAAATGATAAACAATAATCTAGTCAAGGGGTAAAGAGGGGTTTTGAAAATACATCGAGTTAAGAAAGAGTAAAAGTGCTTAAGTGCACTGGCTCAAACAGCATCAACATAATATATTAAAAGAAAGATTAGTAGACAAATGATATTAGTTAAAATTTTAAATGAAGATTTATTCGTACTATGTTTTCTATGGGAAACTTTTAATTTACGCCGCCAAGTGGGGTATTTAAGAATAGCCGTAATTTTTTCTTTCAGAGTAGCAAAAAAATAATCGCAACTTATAATGGGCGTTTATAAAACTTTCTATATATGAACGAAAACCCACTTGAGCACAATAATGGTTGATGCATATATATATATAAATCTTATATTGTCACATATTGTGACATTAAAACTGAAGTAAATGAGTTCTTACAAGGCGATTTAATTTAGCTATCTCTGTCTCAAAGAACATATAACTCTCATATATCCTAGTACCCGAGGGAGCAAAATATGTCGACTAGTAAAATAATATAGAAAACTGAACAAAAGATAGTTAATAATAAATTCTCACTAAACCGTTAAGCTTAGAAGGCGTGCTGGTTTAACTAGGAAGAACTAGATTTTTTCTACACTAGATATGATCAGCTCATTCCACCAGATACCTTTCTCTCTATATGCTCTATGCAGAAAATATTGTTATATTGTGTGACATATATAACAAATTTATAAAACAATAACAACAGTTTCAAAAAATAACAAAACAAAGAATGCAACCGATTCAACATTTCTACGAAGAATAATCAAAGCGTTAACAGTGTATATGGAAGTATCAAGGTACTTCCTGATATTCTAAACAAAATTATGTAGACTAACACATGCACTGATAAAATTATTTGCTGATACTTATTTACATGATTGTTTAATAACACGGTTTCCGCATAGAACAAAATATGGCTTACAAGCGAACACATTTAGTTGTAAATTTATATATTAAAACTTCAATAAGAGTTTATACACATGACATACAAACGTTGGAGATAAAACTAGTTTTAAATTTTTAAGTTCGCTTATGTGAATTTCACGTCAAGGCAGGAACAAGCGCGAATGTTGATAACGCGTTGATTCATGTGGGTCAAGGTTCCTTCATATTGCAAACTAGGTAAGGTAAGAGAATGTGAACTCATACTGATTAACTGGTTTTGTGTCAATGGAGAGATTTGGTTAATTAAACAAAAAAACTCAACAATATTTTTAACTTGATCATTCTTGTTAATAGAATAATTCCGAATTATGAATTGCAATCAAAAATGATTACTTATTTTTAGGGCAAATATGTTTTACAAAATAAATCATTTGCAAACCCACGAACGATGGAGCTTCTGCAGTTACTTTCATTACAATATCAAAATATGGTTCAATATAATTATAATAACATTATTGTACAGCATCAAAAAAATTAAGTTTATCTATACTATTATTGTTGGATAGCCTCCTAGCCTTGTTGGATAGCGCCTTAATAGGTTTACTTTAAAAACTAATATATTTATAATAAGTGTTAATAAACTTTTCCTTATTCGTTCATCTATTTTTATTTATCGAAATGAATAAATAAATAGAATGGCGATTAAAGGTCCAACTTGAATAGAACATTTGGGTCAAACAGTTAAAATTCCATCTAGTCCCTAAAATACTAAATTGTTCAACTTTAAAAGCTTTTTCCTTAGCTTCTATAGAGACTGAGATCGATGATCGAGCAGCTTGAATGGAACATTTGAATCGAATAGGTTCAATTTCATACAATTTTCAAAATACTAATTTACCCAACATTAAAAGTTATTCTCTTAATTTTTACAGAGAGACAATTGATGTTACAAAGGAAGATTTGTTGTTAAGACCCCCATAAATTTTTCCAATCATTTTACACTGGATTGCTAGGATATTGGTATCCCACTTGCAACGCCAGCTGTCTATTAAATAAAAATATCTCAGTATATCTAAAAAAAAAGTTAGGCAAATGTAAACTCGTGTGAAATCTCAAGATCGATCTGGTCAAAACTGTTCAAGAAACGTAACAGTCAGAAATATGCTTAACAACAGGTACCGATGCTACAGGTTACTATGTACTAGGATCTATACACTATATACTATGATACTGGATCTACGATATAATGACTTTTGGTTGTTGGACTAAAGAGGAGTTAAAATCCGTATTTTTCCTTCTATATTAACTCCCATGTTTGGCCAACAGAAGATTAAAAATCTTTGGGGGCCTCTTCCTACCGTCGTGATACAAATATCAAAATTAGACAAGTTTATAGACTTACCAAGTTGGTTCACTTTTACTAGATTGAGGTAGTAGCCATACCTTTTAGCTTTGTCTGTAGACCGCGATTCTTTTGTGGGTTCTTTTGGTCTGTGTATAAACAATGTTAATTCGTTTTATTACAACGAGCCATTATTTGAGCTCAAATGAGCTTTGTTGTGCAAGACTACCACTGTAACCTAATGGGTTTTTTTCAATAGACATATTCGTATAAACTTTGAATTAGTTTAAAAATTGATCCTAAGATCAGATTCTGTAATGCAAGTAGGAATAATCTAGTAATGACGAATATCGATATAATGAATTATATTCTGTAATATATTATTTAAAGTTAATAGTGAGCCTCATTAGAATGATCTTTTGTATGGTACAATAGGGGATATTGCTTTTGATAAAGTTATTTCAACATAGAAATATTTTACGTACATGATTCTGTTGCATTTGTGATAGGTATATAATTTTGACATGATAAAGATTTGTTTTATATGTTTAGTTTAGTACTCATAAATTAAACATCAACGTTCTATAGATAATATGGTAAACAGTATAATAACCAAACAGATGGTACATATTTGTAAAGGAAACTCAAATTTGTTATCGCATTTATATTTTCTGAAATGCAATTAATGTAAATAATATGGACTGCATTATCCCACAGCAACGATCTTTTTTGAGTAATTTAAAACCTATATAATACACAATTATTAGTAGCGTTTTTATATCCATAATTTTTTCTTTCAGAGTAGCATGTGACATGTGAAGCAACAACGATGCTCTTAAAATCTTCAGAGTTAAGTTTTACTCATAGAAAATTTTACGTCTTAAGTTTCAGAGCAACCAAAATTAAATATCTGTCTATTGTGAATGCTCTCTGGAAATATGTTGCAAAATTCTAGTTATCCGTTAAGATCATATGAGCATTTCATTTACTAATTAATTCAAATACATAAGTAAATTAATCAATTGAAATATATAAGATAACAACGCTTATCATTGCCCTTCTAATATTCATTTTGTTTTCTTCTATTTAAATTAATTAGTTTTTAAACTAATTTATGTCAAAAAAGACATTTAACATATATTAAAAGTGATGCCAATTTGTATCAACCAGGTTTAATGCTGTATTTTTACAACTCTGAAAGAAAAAAATTCGGCTTATGTTGTTACTACCAACTGTGATGGAAGGGAAGTTATACAAGTTACTTGCATTGATTCAGTGTATTCTATAGAAATATCAATGATATTGGTATGTCGGAAATTATTCTCTTTAATTGATAATTTTAATAATTTACATAACTTGCATGTCTGTCAGGCTGTGTGAGTTTGAGTTAAAATATCTATAGACACAATAAACTAGAAGCTCTCAGATCGCATTCCTATACTTTCTTTACTAAAGTATATCTATATATAAAAAATCACCTAAAGATACATACAGAAATGACTCAAACTTATTTATGCTATTGGGTGATCGCAAAGGAATTCCGTCTTTTCTCAATAGAGGAATTAAACAAATTGGAGTTAGTTGGAGTAGTTGGATTGTTAAGTGGAAAAAATCGTTTCGTTGGTGCTTCATCTAATATGGGTCGAAGTAGACACTTTAGATTTATTTTATTTTTTACTATCAAAGCAAAGAAACAAATTAGTAACATTTATTATGCTAACGGTGAACGTGAATTGAAGGAACGCGTTAGTGGTGAGCTATAAAATTCTCCAATCACTTGTATGTGATTTCATTCCTACAAATCGAATATTGAAGATGTGCCACGTTCAGAAAGGCCAACAGAACCTTATAAAGACGAAACAAAGGCATTTACGAATGTAAATCATTGAATAACAACTTGTGAAAGCACTGAGAGATTACATTTATTGAATTTAACAATTTCTGTTTTAATTATGTAAAACGTTTGGGTTTAATTTCAAAGTCCAACATGAATGCTACATGTTCTTATAAAAATAATGTGGGCAAGTCATCAATGAGACAAACAGAAGTGAGTTGTCTACAACAATGTTTAGCGCAAACAGTTTGATATAATAAAGGTGAACTGGCTGAGGAAAGCACTTCGAAATACGATTTGTATCAAAATGTGTTGCCAATAGAGAACAAGAGCAAGTGATTTTTGATTAAATAAACCCAGTAGCGACAATTTTCTGTCTTAGACACCAAATAAACAAATTCAAATAAGCGAATATATTTATATGTTAATCTATAAAAACAAAAAAAGCTACACGTACCTTTACAAGCCGAAATGAGATAATATCCACTCTCACATATATCACTAAAATCCAAATGCACAACTGGACGAGTGTGTCCACTGCAGGTCAAAGGTATCTGTCGCAAATTCGAGGTCATATTTACACGCAATAAAAATGATTTGATTTTATAAAAATTTAGTATGATTTTTTTACTTATTTGATTATTGAATTTATATTTGTATACTTTTATTTTCAAATATTACTGACGACATATAAATAAATATCGCAAATATTTAAACAATAACTTTTTGCATAAAATATATAGAAGTTAACTTAAAACGTGAAAAGTTCTTTCTATCACACTTCGCAATACTTTAAATTTTAAAGACACAACAAATTTTAATAATTGCTTTTTGTATGTTTTTCGTATTTTGGTTATTACTAGAAAAATTTATAATGTTTAATACATTAAAAAACTTCTCAGTAAAACGAAAATTTCTACCCAACGACGACGGTGACGGTTTATAAATGAATAAAAAACAAAATACTCAGATAATTTTTGACACACATCAGAGTAGCTTCAAAATATAAAAAAGTAGCAAACTAGGGTTACCTTCCTCTTGCAGAGCTTGCAGAGTCGAGAAGCCGCTGTACTAAAATGTGTCATTAATTCTTTGTGTATATGTGGCGGACATTTATCTTGCCACAGAATATAAAAATAACTTAAAATACGTTGATAAACTTGAATCTTTTATCAAAAAAATATTATTTAAACGGAACAAAATGAGATAAAATAAAATACATTAAAATACATTGATAAACTTGAATCTTTTATCAAAAAAAATAGTATTTAAACGAAACAAGAGAAACATCAGTGAACATAGTGGGAACTAGTACTATACATGGAAGTAACCTACTAGATATATATTAGCCATAATTTTTTCTTACAGAATAGTAAAAAAATATTCGCAACTTAAATCCTCAAGGAGTTAGATTTTACTTGCAAAAAATTTAAGACTAAAGTTTTAATGCAGCCAAATTTAAAAACCAGTTTATTGTGAATGTTCAATGAAAATATCTTTCAAAATTCAAGTCGTTCGTATTATATCATATTGTATACAGCACAACAGAAAACATATGTCAAACAAAAGCATTCAACTTATTTTAAAAGTGCTGCCAATTTCTTTCAACCAGAGTTAATGTTATATTTTTCCTGCTCTGAAAGAAAAAATTACGGCTATTATTTTTATTATGATTAATAGGTCTCTTAACGATATATATATAGCATATAGATATATATAGAAATTTATAAAATATAATATAACTTATTTATTATTGTACGTATTTGCAAAGTAAAGTAAAAAATCTTGCAAAAGTCTAATACGGCATTTACACTGGCCGAAAATGATTCATTTTGGTCAAAAATCGAAAATGAGAAGCGAATGGCTCATTCTTGCATACAAAATTTCAAGCGCGAATGCGATCCGTTCCATCACATTCTGTATGAATGCGTCCCAACGACGTTCGAATGCATTCCAAATATGTTTCAAATACCAAGGAATATATTGAACAAACTCTAAATAAAAGCTATTCATGGCATTTTGACAATTAAGGGAAAGCTGTTTTTGATATATTTACAAGGAAAGGTAAACAGATGTTTTGTGGTTGCATTTGTCTTGAAAACGATGCAACTCTTTTTAGAACTTTTACTTCCCAAAAAGTAATTAATCGAAGTTAAAAATATGTTTTAAGTTATAATATATATATATATTGTAAGGTTTGAAGGCATATTTAATCTTCATGCAATATTTTTTTGACACAGGCCAAAAATCAAATCAACAGGCAAGTTTAAAAATCAGCTGTTTGAAATGAGAACAAATGAAGTATAACGAATGTAAACACTTTCAAATGGCTCATTCAAAATGAGCCATTTTCGGCCAGTGTAAACGCTATATAACCAATGAACAGAACACACCGAGTAACATAAATTATTATTGTACTGTATAAACGCACAGGCATCATACAAACTTGGAACAGCGTGATTGCACGTCAAAATTGACATAAGGTCAGTAATCAATGTAACTTTAAAAACAAATGTGACGTGAAATTGGCAACTTGTGTTGCATACTCTTTTATAACGGCATCCGCGCCGGTAAATGTTAATAGTAAGATTTGTTGAGGTAGTTTAATTAAAAATATAATGAAGTGTTTAAAATTGATATTATTGTAATAATTACGAAGTTATATATATAATTAATATAATTCTTTTTTGTTATATAGAAACTTATGCGTTCCTTCAAATGGAGATGGAAGACGAAGTGGAACTGCCGCCCGTTTTCGAATTTATACACAACATCGCAAAAAAACATAATAGCATAGTTAATTATGAGAGAGAAATAAAACATTTGCGCTATATGTTGGACTGTTGTGAAAAAAAATGTTTAATTTTAGAAAGAAAACTTAAATCCAAAAAATGTGCGAAATGTGGCCACGAAAGACCAAATCGTACAACAAGAGGTACGACTACGCGTGATTTAACTCGATCAATTGATGTAGGTGTTCAGTTTCCAGACCTGTTTCCAGAATTGTTGGCTTACAATAAGCAGTTGAAATTTCTTCGCCCAGTAACTCCTATTACTGACCCGGCAGAATTAATGCTGATTAGTAAGAATGCTAAAACGTGTACCAAACTGAGAGGTGTTACTCGTAGCATTGGGTTTATAGATGGTTTCAATAGAAATAACGAAAGTACACAAACAGATCCGATACAAATAAATGATGATGGACTTTATTCTATAATAAAATCTGCATATAATAGTATGAATTGTTATATCACAAACTATAATAAAGGTATTTAATATTTATTTAAAAAGAAATTAATTAACATTTTACAAATAATAATTTGTACATTTTACAATAATAGATCCATCACAATGTCTCCAAAAAGAAATAAAAGATGAAGATTCGACTTCATCCAACGAAGCCAATGTGGGCCTGATGCCAGAAAAAAAGAAATGGAGTTTTAAAAAAAGCAAGCAGACCATGAAAAATGAATTAAAAGTATCTTCGCAGGATAAATCTGTTGGTGTATCTTATATTGATTTAAGAACATTGGATAACCATAAATGTAATTATACGAAAACGAAAAAAAATATTTTTTTCTAAAAACTATATTATAATAAAAACTTTTACAGATAAAAATGAAGTCGAAAAACCAGATGATCATATGATTATTGAATCTGGATTATCGATTGAAGAAGTAAATAGCAGAGATGATCATGTTGTAGCTAATGATGGTTACGAAAATATTAATTCAAATATTTTAGAAAAATGTGATAATATGGATACAGGAAATCAAGTCGAGAGTGAGGAAGACAGTGTACAAGGCCATGGTAATAGGGAAAGCAGTAGCATTTCAGAAGAAATTAGCAATGCAACAAGTGATAATATAATTAGAGATGAGTGCACTATTAATACTATGAAAATAATTGATAACTCCTTAGAAGAAGTTCAGAACCCAATTTTTAATATTGAATATCGATAATGTACAAGGACATGGTAATAGGGAAAGCAGTAACATTTCAGAAGAAATTGTTGAACCTTTTAAGAAAGTCTTGAAACCTACTAATGATACTAATGCTAAAAATGTATCTGACAATGAAACAAGTGATAATATAATTAGAGATGAGTGCGCTGTTAATACTATGAAAATAATTGATAACTCCTTTGAAGAAGTTCTGAACCCAATTTCTAATATGGATATCGATAGTGTACAAGGACATGGTAATAGGGAAAGCAGTAACATTTCAGAAGAAATTGTTGAACCTTTTAAGAAAGTCTTGAAACCTACTAATGATACTAATGCTAAAAATGTATCTGACAATGAAACAAATGATAATATAATTAGAGATGAGTGTGCTATTAATACTATGAAAATAATTGATAACTCCTTTGAAGAAGTTCTGAACCCAATTTTTAATATGGATATCGATAGTGTACAAGGACATGGTAATAGGGAAAGCAGTAGCATTTCAGAAGAAATTGGTACTAAACCTACTAATGATACTAATGCTAAAAATGTATCTAACAATGAAACAAGTGATAATATAATTATAGATGAGTGCGATGTAAATACTATGAAAAGAATTGATAACTCCTCTGAAGAAGTTTTAAATCCAATTTCAAATACGGACGTCGAATATATGATTTCAAATGTAAGAAGACATGAAGGACAAACGTCCTCGTTAGTCGTAAACAAATTTCCAGATACTTTAGAAAGTGCAGGCACTTCAAAAGAAGTTTGTGACTCATTCAAAGAAGCCTTGAAACCTATTTATAATGTGAATCCATTGAAGAGTGACGGTAACATTGTTTTAGACAAAAAAGTTTTAAATACTCCGATGAAAATTGGGCATTCCTTCACAAAAGCTTTTACACCTTTCTATTCTTTGCATATAGAAAATGTGGATACCGAAAGTGATGATAGCAGTGAGTTAATTATAGATGAATGCGCTGCAAAAAATACACATATACAGAAAGTCAAAAGGACTTCTTTAAATAAGGATACAAAAAATGTAAATTACGGTGAAACTTACAGTAATTCAATGGACGTGGTAAATAATCATCAGAATGATAACATATGCACAGCAAAAGTCAGTGAGGATATAGAAATAATATCAAATGATTTTAAAATTACTGATGGCAAACGAAAGATACCGATCAATGTAAGTGAGCCAATTCTCAAACATCGGAAACTTTCTGTTTCACCTACAAAACGCTCGGAGCGTCTAAAAGAGAAAAATGCCTTAAGTACAATTAATATTGATCCTGCAAAACATGATAGCACAATTGCATCTCATCTCAACTTAAAGACTGTTAAAAAGTTATGTAGTATTAAGAATATAAATAAAAATAAAAATTATACGTATATGGACTGTGATAATATAACATCAGATGATGTGCAAAAAGACGATGTAACATGTACAGTAGAAACATTGGCTAAAGAAAACAAGCATTCGTTTCGTACAGAAATTGGCGCTAATTCATCTTTAATAAACTCACGTAGAGCTAAAAATTCCGCTAATAGTGAAATCAAACTACCTTCAAATACTCGAACCTTAGTTGATTATTCCGAAGAATTTTTATGTCCAATAACATCAACATCAAACCAATTACAGAAAATAACTTCATTAGCGGTGTCATCAACAGATAGTCCTAGATCGCCACCATTAAATCAAAATCTATCAGCGGTACACAGTTTTCAATCGGCAAAGATAGAAGTATCTAAGCGGACATCATTTTTCAAAGAAAGAGAAGAAAGTAATAATATCTCTAAAATGATGGCATATACCAAAGTTTCGTGTAAGTTTTCCTTTAAAAAAATAACTAACTTCCCAGCAAAATTGATAAAAAATTTAACATATGTTTTTACTGAGGATGATTATAAGATGCCCCAAATAATAAAAATGTTCGAAGATACAATGAGGAGCTACGAAAATGACAGTATAACACAATGTATTATAACTAACTTTGTATTGAAGACCTCAACTGATATGGATGCAGTTTGTAAAAAAATAAATACAATAGCTGGACAAATTCCTCAGCAATCACAGGCATTTATAAGAGATATCTGCCAGCAAATATGTGCGAATTTATTTGATTTCAATGAACGTGTTAAGATAGATGAACCGACACAAATAAAACTCACTACGCTTTATCTGAATTTAGTGGAACATATGGAAGACAAACAATCATTGATAATGAACTTTCTGTACAATGTTCTCTTTTATTATTCGAGGTTCTCAGCAATTGTATATGAAATTTTATTAAAGTACCCAAAGCTACTGCCTTCCCGAAGAACTCGCTCCATTATTGATGAAGAGCCGGTGTTATTGGTTGCAATACATCGACTTATGTGTACTAGATATAACATGAGCAATCAAAAAGATAAGGATTTACTTTCAACATTGCGATTCTTTCTCTATTTCAAGCAATGGCATCCGGATAGTAATTATGTCCTTAATAATTTGATGGATAAACTTAGAAATGGAATAAACTGCGCACAACTACCATACGCATTTGCGTTATTTTGCCAATTTGAAGATCACAACCAAACCATCAAGAAAATTATTGAACCACATTTTGATCCAATGTTCAACGAATATATTAATACAGTTAACCAACACATACAAAGCAATGTTGGATTCCATATTAACAGCCTCAACAACCGTATAGCGGTGTTTTTAGCAGTATATTCAACAGTTATTAAGAAATTTCCATTACACCATAATGATATGGAGACATATTTTAATAAGATATTATTATTTTTAAAAGTGGATGATGATCTTGTTCGAGGAGCGGTTGTTAAAGCCATAATACGTTTACGAAGATTTGATCAAAAAAAATGCTTTTTGATTTTAAGCGAAATCAACCTAACAGGCAAAGAAGGCTACGATGTGAAAAACGCTTTACAAAGTTTTCTTCTTCGTCACACAAGAAATGAATGGGAGACTATTATAAATAAACCAAATATATATTAAAAATATTCTTTAACGATTTATTAAAAAAAATTAATATGATTGAAATTTATAAATTTATTTTACGTTGAAAATAAAAAATAAAAATATACACTTGTATTTTAATTTATTTAAAACAATATTCATTTGAAAACAAATTCACGATATTTGTATTCTTTTGTTTTCGGAAATTCTTTTCTCACAGAATATGGTTATCTGGAATATATAAACTCTTTTGTGAACTTACCAGATGAAGTAATGATTAACATTAATAGGTTTATTATACTTTCTTTCTTATAATAAACTATGTGCTTCGCTCGCCAACCTGTGTTATACCGATTCATATCTACTTTTTCATATTCAGTATTAACGATTATTTTAGTTGCTGAAGTTTTCATGTAGAAAAATAAGACTTTCATTGGAAAATCTTGTCATACATAAAATAACTATATACATTAATACATAAATATTACAACTAAAAATAAAAAAATGTTTTCTTGGAGTTGATGACACCATGCTCAACTTACATAAAAAAAATAAGACATAGATAGTATGATCAGTGGCGGAGTTAGACCAACTCTGGAAAATTGCGAGGCCCCTTTTTAATACGACGAAGGATGTATGAAAGTTTTATTGCTAATCAAATTAAAATAAACAAAAATAAAAATAAATAAATTTTCCTATTTTTAGCCTCACTCAATTTTTTTTAAAATTATATCATAATTTCCACCAGTTGCTATTTTCGATTCAGTTTATAGACTTGCCAATAGGTCTTAATCAATTTTAAGTTTGAGAAGCTTCTTTCCGCAGACGCTGTACTGACTGAAGCTGTGCATATGATTCTGGTTACTATATAAACATTCGGATATACTTCGAATATGATTCATGCCATATATGGAATCAATTTGTTCAATATATTCATTTAGTGCTTTGAATCCACAGTCGGTAACTTTTTCCGAGAAAAATTTTTTCAGACAACATTAGAACAAAACAAAACCGTAAAAGATGCTTACGATCTTTAGAAGCTTAATAAAAAATAATTGAATTTGAAACAATAGATTACTTGAGCTTCGGTATATAGCGTACCATACTCAATAAAAATAAACAGTATATTAACTGTGATGTATGCATTATCAATTGTCGGTTGGGATATTAACAATTAATATAATCGAGTTTAATAAGAAAGCTCTTGAACCTAATTATAACTAATAATGTGTAAAAATGTATTAATTACTAGATAATATAGAATACAAACTTCTTTTAGCTTAAAATATAATGATATATATATATTTAATTTTAAATACAAATTTTATAAATTGTTTTTAGCCTAAAAGGAAACTTTTAAAAATAAAAATACAATAAATTTACAAGAATTGCACAATTTATAATATATAAATATTTGTGAATTTTTTTAAAGTTTACTGTTTTGAAATATTTATTTTTGCTAATTAATGCTTATCTGAACAGTTTAAATATACGTAAAAATTAAAAATAAAATTGTAATATTTAGCTAGCTTTAAAAAGATTTATAATGCCGGCGTTTAGAAATTTTTCGACTTCCTCCTTATGGCGGGATATTTCAACTCGGTTGTTTATAAAAATCTAATAACTTAATATGATATTTTAATGTTTATATATTTTTACATTATTCATATAAGCATTAATAAGTTTATAAAATAAATAAAACATTTGATAAACGAAATTAAATTTCGATTTAATTAGCTAATTAATATAATAAGTATCTGTTAATTATAAAATTTTGAACTTAAAGAAAATAACTGTTTTAACAAAAAAAAAGAAAAACTATAACTATAATTTATATTTTTATAATTTTTATCATTTATAATTTTTCTTAAATGCTTTCTTTCTTTCTTTAGCTTTTGTTGCTGTTTTCAAAAAAATTAATGAAGCATTTTAATTTTTTTTTTTGTTTTTTGTTATATACAAAAACTAAAAAACAAACTATTGCAACAATAAAAGATATTGATCTCATGCTATTAAGGTACTTTATGTGATTAGTTTATGTATGGTATATAAAGTAATTTCACTTCTTTCGTTGTTTGCTTAACTAACACAAACTATTGCTACCAAATGCTTAAAATAGGCTCCATTTCATGCTATAGAATTTTGTTTATCTAAAAAAAATAATTATTATTAATTAACTAGTTTTATTTCTGAAAAGCATACTATTTTTACCAAGGAACGTCGTTGATGCTCTTTTTCGAGAGCTACTTGAGTTTGCTGTGGAGAGAACTTAAGTACCGCTGAGATTACCTTCACTAAGGTTTCATTGTTGCCATTTGCTGAGCCAGTTAAATACTAAAAAAAGAAGAAAAAGCAATGTAACAACTCTATTGAATATATAATGAAAGATATACGTATATTATTAAATATATTATTAATATCATCGGCACTACAACCGGTGTCTGGTATCCAAGTTTTCTGTATTCTACTTTTCTTCAATGCTCTCTTCAAAAGGTTTCCTAAGAAGTTGTCTCTTCATTCAAATAGTTGTATTATTTACCACATTGTTTAAATTTACTACATTGTTTAATTGCAAGAACAACCTATTTTACATTCCACAGCAACAAACGGGCTGCAACAACAATATAGATCGTTTGAGAACCGTTGAACTTGAAAAATTTCCTATGTAATATAGTGTTTTGTTCTTGTGAGCTGGCTAAGAGCAACGGTTGTTAATGTTATGTGGCGACAAGTCACCAAAAATTATTGTAAAAGAGTTCAGTATTTTTAGACATCCCGTTAAGAATACTTGTATTTCACACCAAATGGTAAGGTTCATACAATATATTAATATAAAAATTTGATCGAAATTTTATCTACGTTTACTTTTGAAATCACAAAATGTATAACTCTATATAAACTCTATATAATAATATCTAATCATATAATAGAAATCTATGTAAACTATGCCCAGAGTAATGTTATTTACCTGAAACATTATATTTTTAAGGTACTCAAATTCTGTATTCGCAGTTATGCCTTCATTATGTTGCATCGATACCTGTGAAACAGAAGAAAAAAACACTATTAAGTTCTACTATCTACAGTGATTATGACAAACATACCAGAGTCTCATCCAATTGTCGTGACAGCTTCGCATTTTGCAGCTTCAACCGTTCGTTTGATTGCTCTAGTATAAGGTAATTTTCACATTTTTGTTCCAGAAAGATGTTACGGTTGGACACATCTTGCACTTCACTCATGATTGATTTTAATTTTGCTTCGAGTGCTACTCTTTCATCTTCAAACTCACTACCATTTGCAGATACATTGGTATGCGGTTGGGGTTTTAAATTAATTGTATCGTTAGACTGGGCTTTGCTAGCTTCTTTTAAATCCCTCAGTTCCTCTGTCATTAGCGCTGCATTGCTTTGCATATCTTCCAGTTCTTGCTGCAAACTAGATATATCTGCCTTCGATGTATATTTTAAGTCTTCTAATTCACGTTGCAAGCACTCATTGATTTTGCGTAAATGATCTAAATCACTATGAGCCATTTTTGTTGTTTCTGTTTCACTGAAAGGATTACCTCCTTTCTGAGTATTGGTACGTTCTGTTATTTCTACTTTAAGTGCTTTGATTTCCTCTTGTAATTTTTGTTTTTCTTCCAATGCTGTTTTCAATTCACTCACTTCTCTATTGAGCCCATCTATAGTTTGTGAATTACGATCTAAATCCGCACGTAAGTTTTCTACTAGAATTTCTTTGGCTTTTATTTCATCAGACTTGTTCAGTTGAGTTTTTTCTAGTTCCGTTTTTACCGTTTGCAGTTTCTGTTCAACATCGGCCAACAACATTTGGGTGTGCAATAAATCCTTTTGTACTGCGTCATTCTGTTCCGTTACATATTTCGCATGATCAGTTTGACGCACAAGTTCAACATGTTCATCCTCCAGCGTTTTTTTCAAATGTTCGGAAGTTTCTTTTATTGCACACATTTCAAGATCCTTTGCTTTTATCTCTTCGTCATGCTTTTCGGCATTTTCTTTAAGTACGTAAAGTTCACATTGCAAAGACTTTAATTTTTCTTTTGTATCATTTGACTCTTGCAGTTTTTCAAGTGCTTCCGTTTTATGCTGGTCCAGCTCATCTTGAATCTGTTTAGTATGTTTGTATAGGTATTCATTTTCGAGTTTTAACTGCTCAAATTCCTCCAGTTTCTCACTATCCACACTAATGTTTTGATATTCTGTATTAAGTCTTTCATGCTCTAGCTGTAGGTTCTTTAACTCATTTTCTAATTTTTGCATCTGCAATTGGTGTTTGGTTTTTAATTGATCCATTTCGAGTTGGATGGCATCATTGCTTTCGTGCAATGTTTCCACATCTTCTGTAGAACGGAGCAATTTCAATTGCATATCATTGAGTTGTTGAGTGTGATTTTTCTTGACAGTGGACAATTCGGCACGCATATCTGTTTCTGTTTTACGCAGTACTTCAATTTCTTTCTCAACTTCAAGAGAACGTTCTTTTACTTGTACATCATCACCCAATTGTTTCTGTAAATCTTCTATAATTTTACTTCGTTCTTCCAACAAATTATGTTTTTGTTCTAATTCAAGTTCAACTTGTTTTCTTAACTGGCCAAAAGTGCTTACTTCTGCTTGTGTGGTTTCTAGTAAACTTTTAATATTATCATAATCCTGCATTCTTAATAATAATTCATTATTTGCCTCTGTTTTTTCTCTTAGAACTTCTTTTAATGTTAATAATTCTGTTTGAAGAGCCTCCACTTGGTTTTCATTAGAACTGTCGATATCTTTAATTTGATCTGATAACTTTTTCACTTCATTTTCTAATAAATTAGCTCTATTTTCACTCTCTTCTATTTTTGCCATGAAATCCAGTTCTTTTTGTATTAATGCCTCATTCTGTTTCTGCTTTTCTGTTAGTAAATCTCTTAATTTATCATCATCAGATTGTGTTATTCTTATTTCGCTTAATTGTGAATTTAAAGCTTCAATTTCTTCTAAACGATTTTTCGATATTCTTTCCTCTTCGCTTAAATTAATCTCAGATTCTCGTAAATGTTTTTCCATTTCCTCTAGTTTCCTTTCAATAGACGATGTTTCCTCTCTAAGACGTTGTAAATCGCTGCATGAGCTATTATGCGCGTCTTCTAGTAACAGTTTTTCCTTTTCTAAAGAATCGTATTTATCTTGTAGTGTTCGGTAATCGTGATCCATTAGTTCCTGCGCATTCTGCATATGCGAATTTTCATCAAACACTTGTGACATTTTCTCATTTAGTTTCTGTATAGTATTCTCCGCTGTTTCCAGCTTACCACGTATTTCACTCATGTTTGTCGATTCAACCGCTTCATAACGATCCTTTTCAGTCAGTAACTTTTCCAAGCGATTTGTGTTCTCTTCAAGTAAACAATTCTTTTCAGCCAATTGCGAGTTTTCACTTTGAACATTTTGTAGTTTTCCTTCTGCCTGCTTCAATTTTTCTTCGGTGTCTTTGAGAAGTTCGCGCCAGCGCTGTGTACCCTCAGCAGCATTTAATGTTTCTTGCTGCATATGCTCAATATGAGTTTCTAATAGAACCTTCTCTTTTTCCAATTCAGCATGAGAACGTTGTACTAAACTCATTTGGTTCTCCATTTGTGAGATTTCTTGTAAGATGTTTGTGACTTGACTCTCCAGTTGTTTCTTCTCAATCTCAACTTGTTTCGAGTCATTTAACATCATTTGTAAATTTTCCTCGTGTTTATTAATTTCGATTTTCAATTTTTCAATTTCCTCGTTTTGATTTTTTACTTTATTTTGCAAGTTATCGTACTGTTTCTTTTGTTTTGTCAATTTACTATTTGTTCCAGAAAGTTCTTTATCTTTGATGGCAAGTTCCTCACTGATATGATCTACTTGTTCTTTCCAACTTTTATTTAAGTTACTTATTTCCTCCTTAAGTACATTGACTGCTTGATTTTCATTATTCACAGTTTGCTCTTTAGATTCTCTAATTTCAGCTTCCAATTTTTGGATGTGCTGGTCCTGAATGTCTTTTTGTAATTTTAAATCCTCCAATTCTTTTTTAAGTTGGTCTACTTTAAGTGCATCATCTCTTATATTATCAGTTTCACTGCTTTTCGTCAGAGCTTGTTCCTGTTCTTTTAGTTTTGCTTCATACTCCTGTAATTTGGCATCAAGTGTAACCACAAGGGAAGCAAAGTAATCATTCTCACTTTTTGCGCCTTTAGTTATATTGTCCTGATTATCAAAGCGTTGCATTATCTGGCTTAGTTGTTCATTTTGCTGTTGTATATTAGAACTATTCCGTTCAAGTTCCTTCAATAATTCAGCAATTTTTTTTTCCGCATCTATAAATTCCGTCTCTTTCAATTCATGCTGTACTTTAAGTTGCTTTAAGTTATGCTCACTGGCTATAACTTTTGCTTCCAACTCTTGTTTACTTAACAAAATTTTTTTCACAGTTTCTTTCAATTCCTTGAACTCTATAAGTTGCGAATTTAAAAGTGCCTCAGAATCTTTTACGAGTTGCAATTCAGTTTGTTTCTGTTTAAGCGTTTCCGTCAGCGTTTGAACTTCTTTTTCCTTATTTTCCAGTTCAGAATGTATCGCTTGCTTTGTTTGAGCTAAAAGTAGAACATTTTCTTCTTCCTGTTTTTTCAACAGTTCTATACTTGTTGTTGATTCGTTCAACTTTTTATTCATTTGCTCAAGTTGCATATCGCGTTCCTGCAGTTGACGTTCCAGTTTTAATAGTTTATCCTGTGTTTCATTTTCTGTTATACTGTCTAAGTCAATTAAATTATTTTTGCTTATTGTACCATTCACTTCCTGTAAGTGTGCAGAAATACAGTGTCAATATTTATTGGATTACAATATGTTTATTAATTTTAACTTACTTGCAATGACACATTTTCTGGATTTTCACCAAGTAGTGAAAGCTTCGTTTGATACGCTTGCATCTTACACTGCAGATCATCCATCTCTATACGTAACGCTTCTTCAAGATGAGCCTTTGCTTGTTGCTCTAAAGTGCATTGCTCACGTAGTTCACTGATACGTCGAATAGCTTTATCTTGTGTCTCGACAAGTACCGACTGAAAAGAGCATATAAATGGAACAAATTAATAAAATATAACACATATAATTTAATATGAATATGATACAATATAAAGAAATAAATAATTGTTTTAATACGTGGCTAAACGAACGTTCTCACTTAGTAGTAAAATACTAATAGTGTTTAGTTTTTATTAAGTAAATTTTCCATAATGGACAGCTCTTTTAAGCAGTTCTCTGCTGTCTCCGTCGGTGTCAGCTAAAGAGCGCTTTCAGAATATTTGTAATGGATAAAATTTAAAAAACAAATAGAATTGGTTTATATCAAACAAATATGGTTGATGATAAAAATTTAACAGTAGTTGATTTATAGAACTTCAATGAGAAACATTTTGGAATTCAGGAATGTTAAACTTGTTAATAAGTTGTAACTAATAAAAAAACATAGAATGTGCGCATTGTGTTGTATTGAATTGTTAAATACATTAATTAAAATTTATAATAAGTTTATAAGTTGTGAAATATTAATGAACTTACTCTGGCTTTGGCACTGTCACGTTCCAAGTCCTTATATTTTTTTGCCAAATCTGTGTAGCGACAGCGGTATTTATGATACCGATCTATAGATTTTCTGTATGCGTCATATAATTGTTCCTTAGATATAATATCGAGTTTTGTTGTCGAAGCGGAATCATCCATTTCACTACCTGATGCATCCCAATCTGATTGCAAATGATAAACCTGGAATAGAAGGAAATATAATTTAAATAATTATGCTACACAATATAGCAAAACACCTACGGCAGTTGCTTCATAAGAAGGCAAACGAAAAGAAACATCACTTGCCATTGATGAATTGGATAATTTACGTGTACGTGGGATTGCACCAGTGCCATTATTTAATTTTTGCGGTGTAGGGGGTCGTGCACGTGTAGCACCAAGTGGCAGTTTATGTTCCTTATGAGGTGAGTTTTGCGGTGTATCTGTTAAATTACTTTTGTTAAATTGATTTACATAAAAAAAATTATTTGTTACCTTCTTCAGTTATGCTAAAAAAATTTTCATTTGTTGTTGCTGTCGAGTCAGAGCTGGGTGTCGTACTTGTGGATGAGGAGACTGCAGCCTACAGAAGAAATATGTTGCTTCATTTAATTATATGAAATTTTTCAATAATATTTAAAATTAATTTGTTTTCACTTGCATTCAATTCATACATGCAATATTGATTATATTTGATTTAATTGATTGTTGTTGCATTCATATTGAATTGTTTTTATTTAGGTTTTTTTTCTACTTCTCTTTTTTTTTATATTTTGATCTTTTTTCAATTCACCTGTGCTGCGCTCGCAAATTGCTGAAACTTTGAAGATTTGACTTCTTCAATTAATTTGTTTTTTAAATTTGCAAACATACTTTATGTAATTTTAAAAGTGCACAAATTAAATTAAGTTTTTAAAAAATATATATAAAATACACAAATATAATCAAAATTCCTTCATATATACGTGTAAGAAAAAGTCGTCAATAGCAATTTAATTAAGTTTTTTATCTTGTTTGTTTTGCCATTTTTTTCTTACACCCAGAGTTGTATTTGGTGGCACTGTAGCGAAAAATTACAATATTACCATTGAAAGAAAGATGACAGCATATTTTCCTTCATTTAATTATTTATTATTATTTATTTTTTAATGTTAGAAAAAATATGATTTACAGTGATTTAATATCAATACACGTTTTCAGTTCATATTAAAGTGTATTGAAATATGTATATTAGATTAAGAATAGAAAAATGAATAAAATTTATCTTATATTAATATTTAAAAAGTTTTTAAAATAATTTATAAAAAACATAATTTATAAGTTTTTATTAAGAATGTCATTCAAACTTTTACTTTATGCTTGAATAAAAGCTTATTGGTAGTAGTGTTAATTGAGAACCAAGTAATATAGCGAATCCACAGCTATGATTAATAACAAGGATATATGGGGACTTGTAAAAATTTTGCATTCACAATTTTATCTTTAATTTTTTTTGAGCATATATTAATAATAATTAGTTTTAATTGGATTATATTATTACAATATATAACTTTTTAACATATTGTAATATTTTTATAAATTTTTAAAATCTTGTCTATCATTTTCGATTTTTTTTTGTGGTTCAATTTTAACAATAACCTTGTTATTAAAGGCTAATTAGAAATCAAGAAAATGTTGTTAACTTCTAATAAACACGCCGCGCTTCATTCGCACCATATCGCGCAGTCCGTAAAGTCAAGTTGTGGAATACCTTTAGCAGGTACAATATTTTAAGCCTGTGTTATGAACTACACTACCGTTTTTAATACATATATTTATATATTAATTTCCACCAAATAAAATGTATGCGAAGCCTTTGAACTACAAAACTGAGTTAATTATTGTTTAATACTGATTCTGCAAGAACGATTAAGTTAGCGATATATATAAATGTGGCCCACATCCTTTTAATGTGATGCATTTAGTTTAATATGAATATATTTGTTATTACTGATATAGATAGACTGAATAGACTTGTAAAGCAGGGGACATGAAGAGACTATATAATAGACAGGTTAAACTCATTGATTTCAATACATCCCGCACAGACCCTCGGATTCTTAGCAACACCAACTTATGTAATTATATCACAACATAAGTTAAGAATGAAACTAATTACAATAATTAAACTCTAATTACAATAATGAAATTAGATATTTGCTTATATATATTTTATATCATATAAAAAAGGAAAATTTTTTTGAGAAAATACTTATATACAATAATCAATATATCAAAATGAAAAATACCAGAAGTTTAAGTTTATATAGTTTTATTTAGTAGTAAGTTTATTTATTTCTATTAATTTATACAAAATGAATATACAAATAATTTTGTAATAAAATGTTTACCAAAAAATAATTAAAATTATATGAATGACTTTTTAATATTTAAACATTATTTAACATTATTTTAATTTTTTCATCATTATCATAATTATATATAACAAACAATAAACGACTTTATCTCGAAATTCCGCAAGTGCTATTGGTTCGTAATAGTAACATTCACATGAAGTCGTCATAATCGTCATAGTCATTCCCGTACTTTTGATAACCATCAATATCCTTTTATGAAAAAATAAAAAAAAATAAAATAAATTATAATTTAAAAGTTAATCTAAATTAAGTTATTTATACTTACATCGCTTTCGGTGCGTAATGAAGCCTTAGCTTTACCTTTACCAGCAGGTTTCTTTGCTTTATTTTCTAATTTCACCTTTTCAGAGTGCAAGCTTTCAACATTCATTTTTACTTTTTTCATATCAGTAGCACTTACTGTAAATATGCAGAAAATTGCAATTAATTTATTTTAATTAATATATTATTATTATTAACAAACTTTACTTACAATTTACACATATGCTACGTACTAATTCTTCTACAAATTGAGGAAAATGTGGTGATTCTTTAAATTGAGCTAATTTCCAACTTAATGTGGCACCAAATTCTTTAAATTCTTCTTTACTTTGTGGATTAAATGCATCTAAACCACTAGCTATACTAGAAACACCAAATGTTTCCAAAGCACTTTTTAAATCCGATTCTTCTTGAATTTTTTGTAATCGTAATTTTTCAGCCATTTTTTCCTCAGATGTCATATTTGCTAAACGTTGCTCTTCAGCTTCTTCTGCTAAACGCTATATAAGTTAAAAAAAATATATTAGATATATAAAAATCACATTTAATTATAAAATATTTACCTCTTCTTCAGCAAGTTTAGCCTTTAGAACTTTATTTGGTTTCGTTTTAATTGGAACGGCTGCAGGTGCGGATTTCTCTTCGTCTTTTTTCTCCTCTTCATCTTCCCAGCTATCCTATTTGAGTAATTAACAAAAAAAATTCAAAATTCCGTTCACTTGAGTAATTAAATTAAAACTTAAAAATTTAGAAAAATAAAAAAAATAATAATTATAAAACTTAAATTAAAAGATAATTTAAATAAACTTAGTATATGTATTTGAATTAAACAAAATTAAAAGTTCTAGCTTATAGCGCCAAAATAGCAAAGCATAATTTTACAAAAAATTTTCAATGTTAAAAAGGGTAAAGTAAAAAAATCTATATTTTGCATGTTATTTATTGCATTTTAAAAGTATGAGTAGTCAAAGGTCGCGATAAGATTCGTGCGAAAATATTTACAATAATTACATATTGTATTAATGTATAATTCGACGTTTAGTTAACGATGGAAATAAAAAAATATGAGTGAACTGAATTGCAATATTTTTTTATTTTTGACCCAATCAAAAATAAATATTTTCTAAAAACTTAAAGATAATGAATAACCAAATATAATATATATAGTCCGTTCGAATTTTTTATTTAAAGTAAGGATTATTTTAATCAATTGTTCCGTTCCTTAATGGCTAAAGTGGAGAGATAAGAAATAGAAAAGGCATACCAGATTATCTTAATGATAGTCATAGTAATATTTGATTTTATGGTAATAATGGTTCCATGAACAATAATCGCTCGCCCCTTACAAAACGAACAAGAAATGTAGGTTTCAATCTAAGTGATAGTAAGGATTTTTTGTTTTTGGTATAAATCATTTCATACTCTTTTTTATAAGTGTAGTACTTCTGTTTGATAAAGTATTATTTTTTTAAAACTCGATCAAGTGCCATTTACCATTCTCCAAAGGGATTTTACAAGCAAATCCCCAACGGCGACAACAACAACATCTATAAATAATTTAATTAGATAACTTTTAAGAACCAAAATTGTATATTTGACCCTTTTAAAATCTTTTAATTCAATAATTATTAAATTAGGCATTTACTTAATTTGTTAAAAACAAAAAATTAATATTTTGATATTTAAAATACAGATTTTCTGACGGTCACAAAGTAGACGTCTTTTTTGACTTGAGTGCAATATTCGTATTAAGGCGAAAATTCATTAAAATAAACATGTGCCTTTCATTTGTATTATAAATATTAAAAGAAAGATATAAATTATGATTAAAAAGTAATATAATATCATGATGGTATATACTAACATACCATCATCACCCAGTAATCATTTTCTGAGTCAACATAGATGTTAAGACAACTTCAACAAAATAAAAAAATTGTTTGAATATAAAAATTTAAATACATTTAAGCTAATATTATATATATAAATAAGCATAAATAATTTAATACGAATTTACTATTAAGTGACATTGAAATGTTAGTTACGATTTTTTGCAACTCATCAAACTCAAATACATCGAGCTATTTGCTGAGATCTATTTTTCAAGAATAAAAACATATATTTAAACAAGTTTATTTTATACAAATATTGTATATTAAAACAATATTTGCAATTTTTGTTTAAAATATATTTTCAGACAATTTCAGCAAACACAAGAAAATAAAAACCTGCAGAGCAAGTTTTAAAACACTTTCTTTTCTACCTGAAGAAAGTGAAGGCAGTTGTGAATATGCAAAAGTTAACACGTGGACACAATGAATTAATTTTCAACTGCGTTTAATGCAACGCACATAAATCAGGTAAAAATTTTAATAAAATATAAATTATATTATGTATTACCTTAACGTCCTCATCATCGTCCTCGCCTTCCCATTTATTTACATCATTTGTTACTTTTGGACGTATGACAACCTCTTTATCTGCAGCTGATTCTGTATATATAAAATATATTAGATTGTAAATATAAAATTATATTTGTAATAATTTTCTAAATTTAGATATAAATTGTACGCAATGACTTAATATTGCCCTGTCATAAGTCTGCTTCGCTCGACCAATGTACACAATTTTAATATTTTATTTATTGTAGACCTACCCCAATCGTCATCCATTATTGTAATTTTATGAGTTTAAATTTATAATTGAATTAATATACAAAACACCAATAAATATTAATGGAAACTTAATAAATTTATATAAATTCGCCTTATTTGACTAAAATGTGATGAATACAATACAACAACGTGTGTATTTTATGACTGTTTTGACATTTACAAAATTTTTGTGTTCAGTGTTGCTTCTTTTGCAATTGTAATTAACAATAATTATCGGAGGGAATTTTGCAAATGTTATCGACTCATTTGACATGTTTAATACAATATAGATACGTGTGTAGCGAAACACATGTTCAGCTTAATTGTAAGTTATATATTTATGTATAAAATAAAAAATTATAAAGTTTTTTAAAATAAATGCACTTAGATGCATATTACTACCAACTTTCTCATATATCTCGGACCGCGCATTGGAAAAGTATATTATAGCATTTTCGATTGGTAAATTTGGATTCAAATTTTTTTGTTACCCAACCGAACATTTTTAGAGTAATTTAACATTTTTGTAGATGTGTTTAAAGGCATTTATATTTTTAATAAATATACATGTTGTATCAAATCACACTTTATTTTTGACATATGTATATTTTATTGGGTGTTGTACAATATGATATATAAAAGTTGTAAACACTAAAAATTAATTAATTCAAATAAAAGAAAACAAAACGAATATTAAAAGGGTAAAGAATATTGCAAAGAATAAAGAATACTACACTGAAACTTAAGATATAAACATTTTTGCGAGTAAAGTTTAACTCTGAAGATTTTAAAAGCACTGTTGTGGCTGTTTTATTTCGTGAGTTGCAATTATTTTTGTGCTACTCTGAAAGAAAAAATTACGGCTAACATTTCATAAATATGTGTTAGTATATGTGTACAATGACCATAGATAAATAATTACAGAACTTAAATTTATATATACTCATCAATATTATATATATATTTTGCTCAATACCTTCCATTATATCATTTATAAACAAACGTTTTTAAAGCGGCAAGCTCAATATTATTGATTAAAAGAAATTTTATTAAATATTATTATTAAAAACTATATTGAGTTATAACAATACCAAGTGCCGAGTTTTTTACACCATTAGTGCCAGTAGTGCTTAACTTGACACTGGTCATGTTAATTCTTCTTTAACAATATATACAAATCCATTTACTATTGAGACTCATAAATAAATTAAAAAAAGGAATGGTAAAAAATAAACACGCACATTTATTTCTGTAGAATTGCAATCACGTGTAATCATAATAAATTAAACTACTTCAGTGTGAACAAGATAGAAGAATATTATTTATATTAAAACATAATAAAAATTAATATAATATCTAGTAATATATATAAAATAATTTTTATGAATTTGTTTTGTTCGCTTATGTCAAAAGTATATGCAGTATTTCATATTATATGATACATTTGTACTTATCAAATAGAAAACATTAATGCCCTGTATTGAAATGACAGCTCAGCTGTTAGCTGTCATATTTGCCTTTGTTGTTGTTGGTAGCATTCAGTATGTTGTTGTTGACAACTCAATTGAATTGAGTTGGTTAAGAAATTAATAAGAAGTTGGGAGTAAAAGTCTGCGACGAAGACGCACGATAAGTTTAAAAATCTGGAATCTGGTTTAATTTATTTCTTTAAAAATAAATTGTAAAACCAATATGTCGAAAGTTATATCTCAAGAAACATTTGATGATGTTGTTAAGGAAAATATTGTGGACTTTTCCATGGATCCAGTGGAAGCTAAAGAAGAGACTATTAAACAATTTGAGGCACAAGTGAGTAAAAAATTGTATTAAATTATAAATAATTGCAGTTCCTGCACCCTGAAAATGACTATCGAATATAGTTGAAATATTGGTGTAAATAAAATAGAATTTTTTAAAACTAATTAAAAAGTGTTTCAAGAACAAAAACAAAAACAAAAAAAAAATAGTGGCATATAAACTAATTTCTATGAATGAATCATAAGCTTTGTGTAGGTGTTCGTTTTCTATAAATCAAGTTTTCTTTATTACTTTAAACTAAATTATTTTATAGAGATTTCGAATTTACTTTATTATAAATTATTGTACCAATTGTACGTATTTACTTTTAAATATTGTTATTGCACCTATTAATAAATTTGAATTGCTTTATAATAATTATTATTTATTACAGGGAATTAATTTGGCAAACATTATAAAGGACTTAGCTCTGAATCCGGATAGTGGAGTACCATTACTAAATGAAACAATAGACAAAATAAAGGCGCATATTGGTGCAAATTCATCAGAAACAGAAACGCTTTTAGAGTGTTTAGTTATTTTAGAAGAAGAGTGCCAAAAAGTACAATAATATTTTAATATTATTATTAATTTAAATTAATATTTTAAATATTTGTAGTCTATACCACATCGTGTCTTAGCTGGGAAAAATGGTGCTCACGATGTTCTAATTACGCTACTCGAGGGACAAGTTTTGTCAGAAAATAATTCAAATCCAAACATTGAGGTTTTAGAAAAATGTCTAAAAGCTATGAACAGCCTTATTAACAAGCAACCCGACCTCTTTGATGCAGAGTCTTTAGCACTTATAATACCTTTACTTAAAGTGGAAAATGTAGAGATTTGCTGTCTTACATTGCAATGGTTGCAGAAAGCATGTATTATGCATGAAATGAATCGGCAAAACATTATGAATGCAGGTCTTTTAAAACACTTAAAATCCCACGTATCCAAAAATAACGTGCAAGTATTATCCAATGTTATTGCCGTCTTTCGTTACTTGGTGCTGGATGATGATATACGTATTGAGTACGGTTGTGCACATGAACATGCAAAAAATATAGCTAACGAAGTACTCGTCGATTTAACGAAGTTGCTGAAAGGTCAGTTATTATAACTTAATTTGTATAATTTCATTGATTTATAAAAACAATGGATTTAACTATTATTTCTAGATATACAAGACACAAATGTGGTAGCTGATCTACTTTTGACAATCGGTACATTATCTGTGCGACATGAGTTTTGTGCTGCTGTTGAAGAAGTTGGAGGCCTTAAAATAATATTTGAAATTATGGTATAATGAAAAATTTTATTCTTGTATATGGGTTATATTTTTGTGATATTTTCTAAAGACTGCTAATCCGAAATCAGTGCGTATAAACCGTGAGGCTTTAAAACTAATACGTGCGCTCGCTGGACATGATAGCGTTAAATTACAAATAGTGCAACAAGGAGCTGCGCCCATAATAAAAGAACTGTTGGTTATTCACAATGTAAGTTGCTATATTTACCAATAATCCGAACTGAAATTGATATCTGATATCGCTTTTGATAATCGTTGTATAAATTAGTTGGTCATTTAATGATTCATGTTATTAATATTAATCACTTAAATATGCATATACACTAAAGGTGTGGTGTGGTGTGGATGCATCTTAAAGTAATAAAGTATTAATATTTAATTTAAATATTTACTACAGTATAAATACATTAAAGTATTATGGTAGCTTTATTCAAACAGTTGTTGAAATCTTATGTATTGAGCAATTTAATACAAGATGGAAAGATACAACGATACGCAGACATCTGTATGCAAGTTGTGTATATTTAAATAAAAAAGTAGAGTTATATCACTTACATGTTTCATACAAATATTAGCATTTACAATATCGGGATAGAGATATCGAGTTTGCGAAAGCAATACTATGAGTTAGACAGATTGAGTCTGTCTTTTGATAATCTTGCTGCAACCTTAGGTTAGGTTATGTTATATCTTCGACCCCTAGTGGATTGTTATCGTATATATATCGTATATATTGTGTTATCGTATATATAGGAAAAAATCAGGGTTTATAACCACCTAGAACCTTTGGCGAAACCTAAAATGCTATTTGGTGTTAGGTACTGTAATTGGTCAAGATCCTCAAGAAAGAGGGCTTCTGAAGTATTGAGTCGCCACCGTGCATGAGCTGGGCAAAAACATAGTAGATAAGAGGCACTCTCATCGTCTTCCCTACAGCTGCGACAGATTTGATTGCAGGGGAGCGCTAATTTTCTAGCATGGTTCCCTAGTTTACAGTGACCTGTAAGTAAACCAATTAAAAGACTGATGTTTCTACGGGGTATCTCAATCAGAATTTTGTGCTTAAGGCTGCAGCCTTAAAGTAGAGATAGAAAGTTATTAAAACTGTACTATTCGTACTTATATGATTCGGTTAGGTTGGGAAAGGGATCTCAAGAAGTTGGGATCTGTCATAATATTAAAAACTATTTGATATTACATAAAAAATTACTTCAAATGAATTAATATAAGTTACTCAGGCTATCATAACCTCTAACACAGTTATCTATATTATTATTTTATATATTAATTTTTTTGTCGAGTATGACGCTTCTTATGATGAAAAAAAAACTAAAAGGGTTCGAACAGTAATGAAGAAGCAATAACAACGATTTGATTAATTTATTAAAATTTATCTCACCATACAACATACAACCATACTTGGCTATAGTCGGAACAGCGTTGTATCATCATTAAATTAATCAAATCTTTGTTGTTGCTTCTTTATTACTGTTCGAACTTCGAACCCTTCTATTTATTATTTTATTTTTTATTTAATTTAATATTTTTTAAATTCTTAATAGATAACATTTTTTTTTAAATTCTTTTAGTCAAATGAGAACGTTGTCTCTGTTGCTTTGCTCTGCATTTCAACTTTAACGCTACGTGCCAAGGATAATAGTGTGACATTTTTTGAAATTGGCGTGACGGAACCTATAGTTGAAGTCATACGTTTGCATCCGAAAAATAAAATGATACAAGTAAGTATATAGATAGCAAATGAAAGTGAGTATATACGCATTGCAGATATTGCATGATGTCATTCAAAGCGTAATGCTGCTTGGGCAATACGTAATATGGTGTCACGATCTCGTGACCAATGCGAAACTTGGCTCTCACATGGGATCGAAGACTTGCTGAATGCTGCCATGATCGAACATCCAGCTGTGGAGCATGATATTAAGGCTGCCTTACGCGACTTAGGCTGTAAAGTTGTTTTAAAAGAGGAATGGACTGGCACTGCCGAAAAGAAAATCGTGAATTCCTAATGCAATTGGCAATAAAATGCAAAACTATTCAAGTGGTCTTAACAATATATAGCAAACTGATCGTGCTTAAAAGTATTAATCAAAATTCACTTTTAATACTAATTTTTTTTAAATGTTTTGTTTTTTTGTATTGAACATATAGTTTCACATCAAACATTTAAGCTTAAGTAAAGTAAGACGAATTAAGTATATTTTTTTTCTCTTTTTATACTAATTTATTAAAATATATATCATTTTACACTTTCAAATATTGATTTCTTATTGAAAGGGTCAACGAGTTCAGAGCTCTGGTTTTATTTATAAATACATATTTATGGAGATTTTTTTGGATTGAGTAACATCAGAGCGACTCTGCTCGCTTAAGACCCGCAAGGAGTAGATTATTAATAGACATTTTAGAGATTAAAGATAACAATATTATATTAAGCTATAACCAATGTAGTATACAGCAAGGATGAGGGTTTGAGTAGATTTGAACTGAAACTAACCTGAGTGAAGGGGAAGAAACGTTGCCTCTTCAATGAGATGAAGCAATAAATTAAGAGGTCTTAAATTAGTCTGTCAGTTGGGACATAACAACTAATATGTGACGTCAATAATAGTAGATTTGCATTTTCAAAATGTATTTAAACGCTACAATAACGCGTCTAATACATGGCTATATACTGCTCTCAATTCGGTTAGGGACAGTTACGTATACAGGAAGTAAGCTTGAGATGTGAAGTCCCACCAAAAATGAATCAAAGAACTATATTTATACATTTGTATATCCATTATAAATGCATCATGACTGTTTAAGATAAAATTTTTTTATAAATTACTGTAACTTTCCGATAGTCCTAACCGAAGTAAATTTCTGGCTGCGGGTCTAGATGGGATCGTTTTTGTTGCTCGAACAGATATATTTAATCCATAAAAATTACAAGTGGAGGACGATTGGTAACTTTATTGCCTTTATAGGATTATAAGATGAGAGTGGTACGTAGAAACTTTAAACCATAATCGTTATTATAGCTTTGTCAGATTTTTGATAAATGTCTTAATGGTGGTTTATAGAAATTTTTGAACTGCAGTGTCATTTTCCATCTCTTTTTAGCACATTGCACTCGAACTTTTGTATTAGGATGTTTTATTAGTTTATTTAGAAAATGTTTAATAATAACTGGTGATTCCTTTTATTAAGGTGATATGCATTTTGAGCTCTGTATAAAAATAATGAAGTGCTAAGTTTAAACATACTTGGATATTATACCATTACATGGCGCAAAGCTTTGTGGTTCGTATGATCCATGTATGAGTTTCCTTACATACTTGTGTAGCGGATGATCTCATAGTTGTAGTTGTTGCAGTCAACATCTATTTGAAAGCAAGTACATAAATAGATCTCATGGTCGCAGTATTTTATGTACCTTACATTCAAAACTTCACAAAACAAGTTTACCTCTCTACCAAAGAGTTACCAAAATATTATATAAGAAGAACTCTATTAAACAATAACAAGGCAGATTACGCATGACTTAACAAAAAAAAAAAAAATTTATGTAGATAGTTCATCAGATTCAGTAACCAGCAACCGGTAATACAGTTTTTCTTTTGATATATTTCTAGGTGAAGAGAAAATTAATACATTTAAATCAAAATTTTGCAAGTTCATTTAATTATATATTTATTGTGTTTAAAAAAGTAAATATCTTTTTTTTTGCAAACTAATTTATTTGAATGTAAAAGTACTTGCTTAGAGGCACAATCGTTTCAATAAATAAAGAATGTGGTGCATTAATGTAGTCGCATTATCATATTAGTTAAGGAAATTTTTCATTTTACTATTACTGTACAAGTTATACAAATATACAAGAGACTTGTTTACAGTTCGATAAAATTTCAAACAAAAAAAAAAGAAAAAAACCAAATTGAGTAAAAATTATAGTAAGACTTCATGATATGAGAGGTTTCGGCAAAGTGAAACTTAAGGAATTAAATTCTTTGCAAAATTATTTTTAGAAAGCACTATAAAACACATAGATATAAAATACAATTAAGAAAATAAATAAAAATTAAGGAAATAAATACAATTGCAAACTTAATATAACTTTACAATGTAATTAATAAATAAATAAAAATCATTTAGATAACTTAATATTGCGTAATGCTCCAGTCTTGAGACGCATGTTTACATGTTGATTTGGCAGTTTTTCAACTTTTGAGGGATTAGAATTGCCTTCAAATGTTTCTAAATCGGCATTATCGCTGATTACAATTGGTTTTCCGATTGTAATTTGGCCTATGCGTGGTTTTTTAAATATGGTTGAATACTAAAATTGAAACAAAATAACATTAAGATATATATAAAATATAAAATGAAGTTGTTTTTCACTAACTCTATCACTGAGATCACTTGTCGTTGCAAACGGAAGTCCTCGTTTCTTTGGAGATATTTTTAAAGTTGTTAATTTGTTAGTACTAGACACTTCATTTAAACGTTGTCCAAAATGAGACAAGCCCACAATACTTTTCTTTATATTTAAATAAGGTGAATTTGATTCTTCAATATTTTTAACACTCTCCTTCTGCAAAAAGTTTTATTATTATTTATTCTTAATTCATTTAAGTGTTTAGTTACAATGCTAGGCGATATGGTTGTGCGTCTTTCCTCTCTTAGCAACGAAGACTTAAAAGCTTTATTCAGCTCATCAAGATCCGCCATTGTCTTATGATTGGAGGTTTCATTAGACACTTCCAATAACTTTATCTGCAAAAGAAATTTGGTTTTAAGCTGTCCATTAAGATAATATACTTTCAACGCTCTTTTTTATACCTTTTCAACCAGTTGATAATTTTCGCTTTCAAGTTGTGAAATTCGTTCTTCATGTTCTCTAAATAAATAATAAAATATGTAAAGTTTTTAAAAAATATTTTAAAATTTTAAAAAGTTTAAAAAAAATTTTACTTTTTCAATTTCATTTCACTGCGAGCTTCTGTTTGCACCAGTTTAAGCATATTCCGCATATCAGTTTTTTTTTGGTCACACGTTCTTAATTCCCTAGAATGCAAGTTTTAATATAGAGTTTTAAGTTAAATTATAATTTTTCGAACCTTTTTAAAACTGTTATCCAAAGTGCCAGCTTTTTAGGGTCATTTTCTTGTTTAACAATCTTATCTGCTTCGGAGCCACAAGCCGTTATCAAGGCTGCTACTCCATCCATGGTCTCAATTTGTTTCTTTAATGAATTTACTTCATTTCGTAATCCATCAACAACTTTTTGATCTGTTTTTACTAGTTTCATCTAGAATTCAATATTCTAATTAACTAAGTTCAAGCATAAAATATATTTAAAACACCAACCTGTTCTACGTAAGACTGTATGAGGAAATCATTTGATTTAATTTGTTGCTCCAAATTTTTAATAGTTTTGCTAAAATGTTTAGATTTAGTTTCAATTATAATAGAATATAAATAATATTTTGTTCTCTTACAGGCATTTTTTTCGGGTGTCCTTGAGCACCTTAACTTCCTCCTCAGCAACCTTCAGTTCTCTGTTTTTCACTTGGGCTTGTAATTTTAAATTATCTATCTGTTCCTGCAGTGAGCCGATGTCCACTCTGCTTTCATTTAAATTCGCCAAATTAAAGTAAATGCGAAATATATTCCGTGTTGTACATTTATTGCGGCATTGTGGACAAGTTTTGGACCTTTTTAACAAATTAATTTAGATTAAGTCTTTATTTGTCAAATAAATTTAAATAATTTACCGTTCCATCCATTGAATTAAGCAGGTATAATGAAACATGTGCCCACAATTGGTTACATGCACATCGTCCGATGGCGCAAATAACTCCGCACATATAACACAATTTAAATTTAACATTTTATTATTATAAAAACGTTCAATTATTTATGTATAATAAAAAAACTAACATTTACAAATAGCACAATAACAAAACTGTTTTAGCGATGCGATAAGCGCCAAACATATCTGACAGCTGTTAAATATTGTATTCACCGCTGTCAACAGAAAAAAGAAATTTGAACAGTTCTCACACATTCCATTCACCGCTGTCAATAAAATGGTTTGTGTATAGGATATTTTGATGGTGTATTTTTATTACGTTTTAAATCCGTTTTTATTAAAAATTATTTATTAACTGTATGCAAATATATAGAAAAAATATAGAAAATAATAGCAAAAAGTTGGAATATTTGAACGTTGACTTATTTAACACTATTATTTATATTGTTAAAGGTTTGTTTTATAAAAAATGCTACATAAAATAAAAACAATAAATTAAAAACCAAAAGGTTTTTTATTTAGTTTCACACTAGCTTTTCGAGACATAAATAATAATATATTCTATTCTATATTTATATATTCTATATTTAATTTTAAACTTTATCTAGCTAGAATCAGTTAACTACTAAATATAGAAAAAATTGATAGATGCAACTAAGGGTTATATTATGCAGGCAGTCATAACATGGAACAATGGCCAAGACAATTTTATATTCTCTCTGGTTATGACCATCAAGGCATGTTATGCAGACTGTCAAATCTCAATTATCAATTATCAAAAATTGTTATTACTAATTTCTTGATTTTAGAGTGTGTCTGAATATAAATATATACTCATATATTTAAATAAAAATGTAAATGTAGGTTAAACTGTGTTGGTGACCCTATGATTTAATTCCTCAATGGGTTCGTAGCCATGCTACTAGCATAACAGGAAACGAAGGACGAACTCGCGGGGACCGGTTGATTGCGGTATCTTCTGAACCGAAAAAATTACTTGGGTGGTCTAAGAAAGTTGTTAGACGAGCTACTGACGATTAGTTGGATTTAATATTTATATAAGAACAAGAGAAATCACGATGGCTGCAGGCACATCAAATTAGGTTTACCTAAAATAAGTGAAAAAACTGCAGGTTTGCTAGTACTTGTATGTGGCAGGGACTCTCTCTCTCTCTCTCTTTTATCATCATCTCCCAGTGGAGCATGGGGCCGCTAACGCAACGACTGTGGACTACTAATTAGTGCGATTACTGGTCACATCACTTGTGGTAAACATATCTTTTGTTTTGTTCTCGCTTACAACAGTTTATGTCCACTTTATCCGGACGACGATGACACCATTGAATATTTTTTTCTATTTCTTCCCAGACACAGATTAAAAGTACTAGC